TTCTTCCCATGCAGGTCCCCAGACTCAGCCAGGAGTGGAGGGTTCCCTGCCCTCTGCTTCCCTGCAGAGTACAGCATGGGGCTTCCCTTGGTGCCACTTGAGTGTGGGAGCTGCAGGTGTGCTGCATGGAGCCCCCACGATAGAGGCGGCTGGACAGGCTACACTCCTTGACCCCTGCGCAGTGCTGGCTGGAACTGTGTCCCACTGGGAACCAGTGCCTGAGCTGGGCATGAGCACCCTGAATACCCCCGCCTGCTGCTGCTGCCCACCATGGGGGATGCACACCACGTGGGGGAGTGTTTGGAGGGGTCCCTCACACCCCCCACCCTCCCTCACACCCCACAAACGTAACACTCCACAAATCTCGCACACCCACACCCTGTCCCCACATCCCCCACCGACATAGACACACCTCAACATACCCTATGCCCTGCCCCACACACAGCCACACCCCACCCCACCATACACAAACACATCCCCAACAACACACATCCCCGCACCCCACCATACGCATACCCTCCCCACACCTCACTTAACACTCACACCCAACCACACCTCCCCCCACACAATATACAAGAGTAAGACTTTATTTTTCAGTTTTTATGCAATCACCTCTATATAGACTATGCAAACACAATTTATGGCAAAAATATGTTTTGTAATAACATTAAAATATGTTATAGTAGGCCTTTGACTTTTAGTGCATGATTTGGTTTTTTTCTGGTTCTAAGATGGCAACCCCCTCTCCCAGCAGGAGTATTGAAGGGTGGGGGCAACAGGAGGGACTTCCTGTGGCAAAGGTAAAGGGTTAGGGGGTGGGACTTTTGGGCCTAATATGGCAACTGGGGGTGGGGCAACTGTCAAAGGGCGGGGCTACCCATGTGGCCATTCACAGCTCACCAAAACACATTAGGCAGCCCTCCAGACAAAATAATTTCCCACCCCTGGTCTAGCTTCATCCTCTTTGCAACCGCCTGCAGGGAGTTGAAGGCTGTTATTAAATCCCCCTTGGTCTTCTCTTCTCCAGACTAAATGGGTGCACTGCCCTCGATCTACAGGCAGCACTCCTACCAATGCAACCTAGGATGCTGCTAGCCTTCTTGGTAACAAGGGCACACTGCTGGCTCATATCCAGCTTATTGTCCCCTGTCACCCCCAGGTCCTTTTCTGCAGAGCTGCTGCATAAAATGAAACAGGCTCTACTGAGACTTGAACTCAGATTGCTGGATTCAAAGTCCAGAGTGCTAACCATTACACCACAGTGTCTTAATTTCACAGCGCTGGCATCTCCAGCCTCCCTCTCCTTTCAGTAGAGCAATACTTTTGGGCAAAAATAATGTGTGGGGAGCAGCAGGGGAGGACAAGATGGTGGTGCCTTCTCAAAAAAACCCAGGCTTTTCAGGGACATTTTCTGTGTGTTGGATATGTGCGTTGGGGGAAAGGGAGATGTAACTGCTCAAAACAGGGGTGGGCAAAATGGCAGATCTGGTCTGTGGCTGGACTCTATTTCCTAGCAGTCCCTGCCCACATGGCTCCCAGTCGCTGTCCATGGTGACAGTGTGGGGCTGTGACAGTGCGGAGCCACAGAACTGGGGCTCTGCCTTGGCCCCAGCCCTGGCTCCATGCTGTCATGGCCCTGTGATCCCGGGGTCTCCATGGCGAATGCCCGGGAGCCATGCTGGTAGGGCATGCAGGTGGGTAGGGAGCTGCTCCAGGCCTGGGGCTGGGATGCTTTGCTGGCGACAGCATGGTAAACCCATGCTCACAGCAGGGGCATGCAGGCAGTGGATCATGGCTCTGCCTTGGCCCTGCACCATCACTACCCCATGATCCCGGGGTCTCCCCAGCTCTGCCTGTCCATCTTGCTCCCAGCTGTGGCCCCATCCCAGCCGTTCTGCCATGTGTGGGTCCCACCCTTGGAGATAGGCGTGGGGCAGATGGACTGGGGTGCATGGGCAGCAGGGCTGGATCCAGTGGCAGCAACCAGAAGGAGCTGCCACTGCAAGGATTGCTGGGAAATGGAGTCTGCCACAGGCCGGATTTGGCCCGTGGGCCAGATTTTGCCCATCCTGCCTCGAAATCTGCACTGACTGATTGTGCAATGGGAAGGTGTAAGAGAGTGCAGGCCCTTTAGAGATCTAGGGGCTGCTTGCAGGAGAGGTGCAGGTGGAGGGGATCAGGCTGCTGAGTGGATCCCAAGCTGGGGACTTGAAAAGTTGGAACTGAAAGAGAGCCGGGAAGCAGAAGGTGCTTGTGGGAGGTGGGACTTTAATAGCCTGAAGGGAAGAAAGGTACTGGTTGTTTTACAGCCTGGAGAAAGGCCTGGTTTTGTTTTAGCCTGAAGGGGGAAAAGGCTTTTTTTCTTTGTTTGACCTTTCCTAAGGAGGGCTTTGAATATAGGACCGGGTTTTGGAATTGAAAAGGAAGTGTGGATGTGACTGGAGTGATATGAGCTGGGAGAAGGCATGGCCAGCTCACATAAGATCACTTGCATTTTATTTTAACAGATGTTGACTGGGAGAAACCTTTTCTCTTCCAGGTATCGGAGCCCTGAATATGCTGATGCAATGTGTTTCACCTCCCACTTTTGCTTTCATGACCTGTCCCACATAATTGTTTCAAGGGGTCTCCCCGCAAACTTTGTACATGTGTTTAGCACAGGCAAATAGGTAGCTGCTAGGTAACAATTCATATAGTGTGTGTGAGCGTGTAATACCCTGGATCCCTTGCTGCCATTCAATGCATCTAATCTGGTGGGTCGGGATCCTGCTTATTCACTGTCCTTCACCTCCTTACACCTGCCTGAAGTGGGCATGAAACACAAGTGTTTGATTAGGCAATGTTTTTATACAGTCTGCCTCCCTTGGGTGTCATGCAGACACAGCAGGGCGAGCTCACTTTTTGGTACTATGTAATTTTGCAGCCCTGCCTCCCTCCCGCTTTCCTCTTTTCTACAGTTCACTTAGACCTTTTTAATAGCATCCTTTTTTGCATTTATTTGGATTGAAATGCTTAAAGACCGCAAACATGAAAAAGAGATTTTTAACCCCTACACGTCTCAAACATTTACCTATATAATAGCACTTTGGGTTATTGAAATAGAAAACTATAGATAACTCTACACTTCCCTTAATTTTGCTAATAAGCACTGAACGGTGTCTTTGCAGTCGTTTTGATTTCCTGGGGCTTGGACTTGGATGCTGCAGCACTTGAATTTAACTTCTCCATCCCTGAGGTCATGGAGAGGGGTTCAGTCTGAGAGCTACCGTGCCTCTATCCCACAAGCTGAAGAAGTGAAAGCAGTAGGAGGTTGTCACCCTGTAGCGGCCTCGCTGTTGGGTCACTTTGACACACGTCTTGGCAGAGCCTCATATAAACATTACAAGGAGGTTTCTTGTTTCCTTTAAAAACCTGTTTAGAATTGAAAACTAAAGATAACGAAGGAAACCAGGATTTTCAGCACGCTGGGCTTGCTCCCTTGGAAGGGTTGAGTATCTGGTGGGATGTAGGTCCCATGGCCCTGTTGAGGTTGGAGGTGGGAGGTAGGACAGCCCTGTTTAAGGCTGCTTCAAGGACTGCAGTGGGGAATATAACATACCGGCTGCACAGTATTACTGTGCTATGTTGTTACTATACTGTACTGCACAAGGGCAGAGTGCTTATGGCTCCAGCTCCAGAGCTGTGAGTTCAAATCCTGCTTCGGACTTGCACCAATGGCTCCACCTGGTCAACCCACCTGTAAATGGGCACCTGGTCAACTCAGCTGGATGGCTCAAATCCAAGGCAGCCGGATGGGGTGCTGGCCATGTCCCCCGCTTCTGTGCAGTGATTGTCCCCTAATCGTGATGGCTGGAGGATCACTGACCTTTTTGGCTACTGAGGTTATTTTAATGAATCTTCCTAATACCCCCAATGGCAACCTTCAGCGGGGAGGGGGGAAGTGAGGCATGGCACTGATGTGTATCTCCAAGAAGTGCCGGTAAGACAACTCAGGAGGTTGTGAGTCCTACTCCTATGTTCAATTCAGTAACAGGAGGGAGTCCGAAAATCCTCTCAGGAGATCTTCATCTATGAAGTTGGATCTTTGGGAACACTTGCAAGTGATACCTTTGCCCCAGTCAAGCTTAAGAGTGGGACAGAGACTATACTGTGCATTTAATACAAGAACAATATGATATGGAAAGGGAAACGCTGTCTTTGCAAGGGACTTCCACCATATACCTCATAAATAGATGAAGGTTATGCTCTTTGACTTCCAGTTGAACGATAGGACTGTTGGAGACGAATTTGCTGCCTACCATCCAGAGGTGCATGCATTTTCTTTCATTTAATTGCATGAGGATGACTGCTGGCTGCTACTGGAAGGCAACATGGGCATTCTGCATTAAATGTTCTGTATGAAGGGTGCGCATAAATGCAAGGCAGTGACTGGATCAGCAGGAGATCAGCCCATTGCAATGGACTGAATGGCGTAGATGTGCACCTCTGCCCCTTTGAATGGAATTAGATCACCTGAACTAGCAGAAACTCTGCCCTGTGCATCTAAACTTTCCTTGCTGTCATCTGCCCCCACTGAGATCAGTCCACCTCCATCCTCTTTTGAACCCCCCTGCAGAGAGGCGAAGGCTTCTATTCAATTCCCCCTCAGTCTTCTCTTCTCCAAACTAAATAATCCCAGTTTCCTCAGCCTCTCCTCACCAGTCACGTCTCCCAGCCCCTGAAACATTTTCATTGCCCGCCACTGGACTCTGTCCAATTTGTGCACATCCTTTCTGTAGCGGGGGGGGCAAAACTGGACACAGGACTCCAGATGCAGCCTCCCCAGTGCTGAATAGAGGGGAAGAATCACTTCCCTCCATCTGCTGCCAATGCTTCTACCAACACAGCCCAGGATGCCGTTAGCCTTCTTGCATCAAGGTCACGCTGCTGGCTCCTATCCATCTTATTGTCCACTGTCACCCCCAGGTCCTTTTCTGCAGAGCTGCTGCTTAAAATGAAAGTGGTTCTGCTGAGACTTGAACTCAGATTGCTGGATTCAAAGTCCAGAGTGCTAACCATTACACCACAGAACCAGTTATAAAAGCATACTCCTGACCCTGATTGTCCTGGTTAACAGCTGAGGCCATTCCAGCCTCCCTTTCCCTTCAGCAGAACAATACTTTTGGACAAAAATAATGTGTATGGAGCAGCAGGAGAGGACAAGATAGTGGTGCCTTCTCAAAAATACCCAGGTTTTTCAGGGACAATTCCTGCGTGTTGTATATTGTCTGCAGCAGGGGTGCTTAACCGCTGCCCACAGGCCAGATCCGGGCTGTGGCTCTGTGTCATCTAGCCTGCAGGGCTCCCCACAGGTCTAGGGGAGTGGTGTCACCACCTCCTTGCTGCCAAATCTTGGGACCTGTTGGGAGCCTGAGCCCTGCACACTGGATCCGGTGCCTGATCCCCATGCTCAGGGATGGGTAGAGGTGCTGCTGTGCCCAAGATCCAATCCCAGCATGTCGGGAGTGGAGGAGGGTGGTCCTGGGCCTCCCGGACCCAATCCTGTGTGAGAGGGGTAGTACCAGACCCCCCAGGACCCAATCCTAGCATGAGAGGGGAGGGAGGGGGGCAGTACTAGTCCCCTCCCAACCCAATCTGGGCGCACACGGGAGCAGAAGGGGGTGGTGGCAGGTCTCCTGCATTCAATCCTGGTGCATGGGGCATGGCCCAGGGCTTGATCCAGATTGCAGATGGTTCCCATGCTATTCCTATGGCCCGAATGGTCAAAAGGTTGAGCACTGCTGATCTAGAGGGGCATAAATGATGAGCAGCACTTGGAAGGTCCGGCCAAGTTGTGGGCTCCACCATGTTAAGTGCTGTACAAACACAGGGGGTGTGTCTACACATGCTGATTTAAGGCACATCAGCCATTTTTAAGGTGCATCAAGGGCGCAGGTCTACCTGTGCGTGCCCTTAATGCACCTTAAAAATGGTGATTTTAGGCTATGTGTGCATAAGTTTGATACCTGCAAAAGCAGGTGTCAACTTTAGGCGTGAATAGCTAAAGTGCCTTAGCACACATGTAGATGCACTGAGGCACATTAGTGTTGTGTATGTCAACTGACTTGGGGCTAACTTTAGTCCCAAGTCGGTCCGCTCACCTCGTTAATGCGCCTGAGCGCATGCATGTGTAGGTACGTGCCTAAATCTCCTTAATGCGCATTAGGCAAATGCGCATTAAGTTTAGGTTCATGTAAAAGCACGTGTACACATGCCCAGGGTGTACAAGTTCCAACCTAAAAAAGCTGGTGGTTGAAACGGGTCAGGCTCAGTGCTCTTCATGCCCTATTACAGAAGGGGAACTGAGGCACAGAGGTGCCTGAGGGACATGTCAGAGCTGTGAAGGGCCCCTGGATTCCCTGAGCCCAGTCTGTACAGAATGACTTTCCTGTATTTTATTTAGAAGATACCTCTGGGGGATTTTTTGTGTACATCCAAGCAATCTCTATAGCAACAGGCATGTTGCAAGCACATTTTGATAGGTAAGGCTTATAGGGCAGGAGCAGGTTAACTGCTAGGCAACAACAACCTAATGTTCTGAGCAATTAAGAGCAATGAGAGAGAAGCAGCAAAGCAATTAAGCAGCAGCTGAGTTGTCTGGTTTTTGCAAACTTTCCAGTCACGCCTATAGTAATACACTGAGGCTGATCTGCCTTCACGTGGCCTGCACCTGAAGCCAGAGGTGGCTATTGCAGTCGACACGTCCCCACCACCATCACGTGGAGACTCGACCATAGTCCTTTCTTGTTTTGCTGGTTTCCTTCACCTCGAATCATTTTAGACTGAAGCTGCAGGAATCAGCAGCTTTATTAAGCATTAATGTGTCCCTGGGATTGCATATTTATTTGCTATAGGGAACAATCCTGCCCTGGCTGAGAGCTAGGCTGGATGAAGTAATAGATCTTCCTTTTCATTAATGGCTATAATTCCCACCGTAGCTCGGTCCATAGCTGCTGCTGAAGCCCGCTCAGCATGGCACAACCAGGTGATACTTGCAATAGGAGAGGACTGTCTTATAGCCCATTAAAACAAATACATCCCTTCTGGCAATGCTGTCTATGTTGCAGTTATTGCTACTGAGAGGAAAGATGCTGCAGCCCTAACGAGCAATCAGCATTTGTTATGGGATTCTGCAAACTGCCTGTGGACAGTGTCCCGTGTTTCCCAGGCCTGCTTCTCCGCAGCACCCAGCCCGCCCACTAAGTGGCTCATTTTAGCAGTTCTCAGGCAGCAAGATTTAGGGACCCCAAAGGTTAGTTGTAAATGAGACTAATAAGAAGCTGAGAGAGTTGCTGTAAGCAGCAATGTCACTGCGGCGTCTACCTGTTCAAACTGCAGCGATCCTTCCTTCCTATTACCGCAATGGCTCTCCTTAGGGTTGCCCAAGAGTTTCCATTCTCAGCACCCCTTTCCTTTGCAATGCCAACATACCCCTTTGGACATGAAATGGATCCTGTTTGGCTTCTGCTGGGGGAACCAGCATCCAGATGCTAAAGAGTGAAGATGCCATAGACGTTGGCTTGCCTTGGTGGCCTTGCTGGGTTAAAATGGAGGCCCAGTGGCTGGGCTGAGTACCAGAAGCTTTCATTGCCCCTGCTGTGCCTCTTATGGCTGTGAGGATTTTGCACTCACTCTCGCTAACATTAAATTTGCCTCAACCCCTGCTTCTCTCTTGCAGATCAACATCGTTTTGGACCGCTCGATCACGGTGGTTACTGAAGAGGAAGCCACGGGAAGATGAGATTGTCATATGCTGAGCTACTCACTGTAGCAGCCCTCCTGGCACAGTACAGGACCGTGGCTGTGCATGAAGGTGTGTGGATAGCATGCAGTTTCCAACGGCATCAGAAGCAGGGTAGCAAAGGGCTCATGCATTGCACGCGGCGGAGGCATGCAGAGAAGGAAATGCCTTTTCCAGGTTGCCGCAACTGTTGCTGAAATAGGCTGAGGCTGCAGACACACCCCAAGGTCACCTATAAGGAGCCAACCTGGTGCCCCTAGTGTCAAAGCCTTGGGCCTCTATGGCTCGAACAGAAGAGGGTGAAAAGCTGGTCGAGATAGTGGCCAGCAGGAGCGACAAGGGGGAGATAGGCTCAGACCCCTCCTGTTGTGTAGGGTTTGACTGGCAATGGAAGAGGTCCATAGGAATAGCCAACTTCAGGGCCATCTAACTTAGTGACCCTCCAATGGCCAGGATCAGATACTGGCCCTTGCACTAGGCAGACGCAGGGGAACCTACCCCCATGTGTGTCTTATCTGTAGCTCCAATTCTAGGGATAAATCCGCCTCCATGTGAATGAGACATTGGTGGTGCTACGCCCTTGGGGTTTGGCTTGACTTCTTGCTGCCTTTTCTCAGTACCTCACAGAGTCATCTGGGAGGCCCAGAATAACACCAGGGCTCGTCTTCTTCTTTACCCATGGTTTCCAGTGTCTCCCAGCTGGTTTGGGTCCACACAAATGGCATTTAAAAGTGGCTGAAGAATGCAAGCCCAGGAGCTCTGGTTGAGGAGGGTGAGGGGCACTGCTGGGCGCTGCTGAGGTCTGGGAAAGGCGGTGGCTGCTTTGATCTGCTTGTTTTTTGCACTCACCCCAGGACACCCAGCCCTGGACTAGCAGCTCAGCAGGGCTGTTCTCCAGCAGCAAAGCTGGCCGTATCTCCCCTTGGCTCTCAGCACCGATGGGCAAGGGGTGTGCAGAGGGAGGCACTGGGCAGGGAATCCAGGGGGAAGCTGCAGTAGTGCCCCAGGTAGGTTAGCTAAGGCTCTGCAGAGGACGTTTGCTCCCTCTTGGGCCCCATTTGAAGCTCCCCAGTCCAGGTATTGCTCTGCCAGCCCTCACGGCAGGCACTTGGTGCTGCGATTCCCCAGGGTATATGCTGCTAGCAGCCCAGAACAGAGCAATGGGACATGACTCTCGTGGTCTGATGCTCCACATCTTCCCCTCCCGCATAGTACAAATTAGATCCAGGGATTCCCCATAGCACGCCAGTGAAGCCTGCATTGCATTCCCCTAATGGGGCTTGTCCAGCAGTGGATAACAGCCCACTATTGCTGCAAGCCAGGTGCGTTATTTCTTTGGCAGTGCTGTGGGCATGAAGCTCTGGTGTTTAAACCCTGCTAGTATAGGGGGGAACAATCAACGCACATGAGATCGATTGGATTTTTAAAATTTACTTGGTGGGATCTTCATTATTTTTGCAAGCTGTCTTGGGGAGAAGGGAAGGAACAGCTAATCCCAGGTCCTACAGGGTTCCCGTGGGGCTCTCTGGGGATGCCAGGATCCACCTGCTGGGATCCACCTGCCAGGATTGGGCCCGAGGCTATTAAGAAAGGGCCTGGAGCCCTCCGTAAAATCAGCAAGGAGTTAATAGAAGCTTTGGAATCGGCTACAAAATTAACTTGATTAAATTCCCGCCTGTCAATTAAGCCAATATATTTGGCCATAATGCTATTTAATTCAGAGCCTTAAACAGTGCAATAAATCAACGTTTACAGATGTCTCGCGCAAACCTGTGATTGATGAAATAGGGTAATTTCGGAGGTGCATGGAAAATTTCAAATAAAATCATATCCCCCTGTGATTAATATAGCTGTCTGCGTTGGGATTTGCTCCAGAAGGTACCAATCCAAATATGCTTAACATCACATGCTTTCCGTGACAGCTTCAGGCATCTGATCTAAGGCAGCTCAAAGCTCCTGGGTTTTTCCTTGCCAATCTGAGGCTCTGTCCACCCAGGTGCTGCATGCCTCACTCAGCATCTCGCAAAACAGGCTCCATAGGCCCTTTGGATCGCTGTTGAGAGCAGGATGACGTCACAGCTCCATGCAGAGGGCTTCAGGGGGGCTCATTCGTCATTACTGTGCACCTTGCATCATTGGGTATGCCCGGATGCAAAGTGCGTGCTAGCTAGGACGGCAAGCATTGCCCAGCGCACTGAGTAATAAGAATACATGGTGCAAGTTAGGGATGAATTCGGCCTTTTTTGAAGGAAGGATCAGAGGATAAGGAAGACCCCAGTCTTAGGAGGCAGACACCGGACACCTTTATACTGATGTAAATGTGGAGTGGACCAACAGTCCACTGCTTTACGCCACCCTAAGTCACTCTATTCAGGAGTCAAGTTGTCCCCGAGCTATTCAGGAGTAACTATATGCCAGTATGAGTGACCTCTGTATCTCTGTCATGTGTTTACACCTTTTTTTCAGTTTTTTCCCAGGATAGTCCTTTCACTGGGATGTATAGACCCAGTGATGAGGCAGTGGGATAGAGCCTCTTGCAGGCACCTACCAAGGGAGAGCAGATTGTCCACTCCAACCAGCTGCTGGGATTTGCACCGGGGCAAACTCTCGTGCGTAGGCATGGTTTTAAATAGGTGCATCATTATTTGTCAGATCAGGGCTGAAGTTGCTTGTTCCACGGGGCAGGCTCTTTATGTTGAAGTGAGTAACCATCGCACTTGGTGCTTCGATTTGCTAAGTGCACGATGCTTTCTCCCAGGGCTGAGATTTCGGAGCCTTCCTAGATAAGAGACTTCCATCCTCTTGGGATGATACCAATAACCGATGTACTGGAAAGAACTGAAGAACGTAAGAGCTGTTGTACTGGCTCAGACCAAAGCTTCGTCCAGCCCAGCATCCTGCCCCTGCCAGGCAGGTAGTGGATGCTTTAGAGCAGCGGTGCTCAGTCTTTGGCCCCTGGGCTGAATCTGGCCCACGGGGATCCACGAGGGTGCAGTACTTTGGTGGCGGGGGAGCAGTGGCAGTGTTAATCGCTGCAGTTTCCAGAGGTGCATCCTACTGCCTGCCAGCTGCTGTAGGTGACATTCCTACCTGCTGTGATGAATAGCCAGGGATGCACCTATTTGCCCGATTCCTTCTGGGACCCGGTTATACAATCAGCTTTTACCATGTCTTGTGGCAGTGAGTTCCACATCTTAATTATACACTGTATGAAAACCCACTTCCTTTACAGTTATTGTAAACCTGCTGCTTGATAACTTCCTGGGGTGGCTTCGATTGCTAGTGTAATGAGCCATAGGAAAAAAAACAACCCATGATTTCTCTACCTTAGCTCTCTCCCAGACCCTGGCTTCAAGCGGGCTCTTCTCCAGGCTGAAGAGGCCTGACCTTTTCTGTCTCGCCTTGCATGGAAGCTGGTCCCTAGCCCTGAGGACCTGAAAACTCAAGGAGATACGATCCAAAGGATTAGTTGTTTGCATGCCATTGAGCCCAGTGTTGTATTTCCCGTCAGGCTCGATGCACCCTTCCCGGGTAAAGCACAAATAGCAATCAGCGGTTGTTTTGCAGCAAGCAGAATTGCGATCTGAAAGAGCGCAGTCCTTTCCCCGTTGCGGTGAGTAGCACCATTTTATTACAGTAGGAATCGTTGCAGAATTGGCTCCACAATGTCATATAAGTAGCAGGAAAGTAGGATAGCTGGATAAGTAGGAGCTGGAAAATCTAGTTGGTCTAATAAAAGATATTGCCTCTCCCGCGAGTCCTGATTGCTTTTTTCTCTAAACCAATATGGCTACTTAACTCCTACCACTTGCTTTGCCAACAACATCCCTGAATGCGCATCCCAAATGGCAGAGATAAATGAAGCAACCCAGCCTGAGAATATGGGTTTTGCTACGTTGAATCTGTAGCTGAAAGTCAGGCTGGGACTGGGAAGGGAGGGGAGAAGGACCAGGGCAAGGCAGGGCCTTGGGAAGCCTTTCAGAGATGAAAAATGACAAAACAACTTCATAGAAACAAGGATTTCTTCTGGTTGCTTTTACTGGACCAGCTGCATAGCTTAGAGGGCCGTCGGATGAGTTTTCAAGCATCAAGCACCGTTCTTCAGCACCACTTCAGGTGTAAGACTTTTATTTCCTTCTTCTATTCAAGTCCCTTGTTCAGCGTGGGAAGACAGCGATTGCTCTGTGGTTAGTTGTGTCACACGGCAAAGCCCTTGTGAGCAACCGCAGTCCCCTCAGCTCACCCGCAAAGTGATGCTCCTTTTACACCCAGGATGACTCTGGGGGTGCTTTCTTATACCTGGAGAAGCACAAGACAAGCCAAAGCAAGTCCTTCTGAACTGTTCACTGGTTTATTCGGCTATTAGCAACCAGACAGCATTACCAATAGTAATGACATTAGCAGGAAATACATAGATATACTCGCTACCAGGTGGTGAGGTCTTGGGGTCCTCCGGATCCATCCTCCTAGTCAAGGCAAGCTCCAGACTCCCCCACCTTGGACCAGTCCTTTGCGTGGAGGTGTTTTATACAGCTCATAATCATACTCCTGCCCTATCCTGTGAGTTAATGATCTCTTGGCCAATCAGTATTTTGGGACTCTTCAACACTCCCGGACCAGGCACCTTGCATCTCAGCACTTATACGCTCAAGCCTCTATGGCTTCCTCTAAAGGACCCAGGCCTGTGAGCATGAGGGCAATAGCAGACCCACACCTTGCCAAGGGATTCAAGCCACTAGCGTGGGAAAACGATGCCAGGAGTAGCTGGTCGGGTATAGATATGCGGCGCTGACCTCAAGAGTGACCCTCTGACACCAAACCAACCCTACAAGAACAAACCAAGGGATGCAGCCCAGGCCTCTCAAGCCGGGCAACCAATCATTTGTGCGTCAGTCCAACACTCGTGAGGACGCCGCACAAAAAAGGAGCCTTTACATAGTCCATGTGAAGCACCATCCAGCTTATGTGCACCTCGGTGATAAGAAGTCAAGAATTTAATGCATCGGAGGGAAACATGCCCATGCTGGGCATCTCTTCCCACCCTGTGTTAAAATGATAGAGGAAAAAATAGCCCTGTTTGGATTTGTTAATGAATCTGAGCCCTCCGGGACAGTCTTCAGGTTTCTGTCTGGGAAACAGAGTTATTTCAGGTTGCTGAAATATGAAATTCAGTCTGACTAGCGCTTGAAAGCAAAGACGGCCGTGATGTTCATTGAATGAGGCTCCTGTCTTTCCAGTCGCCTTCCTCCTGGCTGTTTCTGGGGTGGCTCCAGGGTTACAAGGAAAGACCTGGCGGCTTGCTGAGTGCTGTGTTTAAAGCCACCTTGGCATCCTCGGGGACTCCAGCTAGCCGATGGCACTGGGACGGTGCAGGAGGACTGTCCCAGAGACTTGTGCATGCTTACAGTATGTGATAGTGTCAAATGGAGTGAATTCAACCCCCGCAATCGAGAAACTCCCCAGGAAATAGATGCTGAACAGGCTCTTCCTGTCACCGGTAATGAAACTAGGCTAGCTCTTTGGGTCACGTCCCTCCAGAAGGAGACAAACAGCGGGTGGGTTGAGATGGTTTGAAGCCGCTTCGAGGCTACCCCCAAATTCTGGGATGCTCTAGCTTTTGTGACTTTTTTGCCCCTATGGGTTTATTACTCCCCAGGTCTACTCCCCTTGCCCCCCACTCCTCTCTCCCTTCCCGATCTTTTTGTATTCATCTCATGCTATCTATTGGATAGACAGCTCTGTGCTTATCCTTTCACCGCATCTGATGAATTGAGCTTGGGGTCACGAAAACTGATTCATCTCTGGTTTAGTTAGTCTCTCAGGTGCATCTCTCCCCCACCTTCTGCTTGGCTTCAGACCAACACGGCTACCGACCTATCTATGCTGTAGGGGCCAGTGACATCTGTAGCACAAGTTGGAGCAGCCCAGGGGCAGGGGACGCTATAATTTTCACATGCTTTACATGGCTCTACAAGTAGCTGCAAGAGCCAGGAGATGGGGTACCCCGGCTGTGCTCCCCGGGCTGGTGCTGGGGGAATCTCTTGCTAGGATGTCCAGTATTTGTTACAGGAGCCAGGCAGGGGGGTCACACATACCCCAACCCCCACTGTGCAATAGCAGCAGGCTTCTCTCCATATTGCAGAGCAGAAGGAAGTGGCAAATGAAGCGGCCGCAGCATCTGCACCTGCCTGTCAGACCCCCGGCACTGAGCACTCTTGTCTTTCTTGTGGTCCTGGAGGCAGGACCCAAATTGCTCCCAATGGCGGAAGCTGGGTCTGCAGAATCCAATCAACCACCAATGTAATGTGCATCTCCCATGTAGCACCTCTCCCTGCCTGCTGTGCACAGGCCTCTAATGCAATAGAGATGTGGCATGAAGAATGATGCCTGTGCTCGGGGTGTGGGCAGTGATTTATGGGCTGAGCCAAATTATGCTCACCAGAGAACCCCAGGGCCCCATTTTCCTCCTCCTAATGCAGGTGCAGGACCTGCATAACCTCATTGACTGCCCCAGTAGGAAAGGGGTGGCAATTAGGTTTGCGAGTGAGCTTGCTTGTGTGTCTAACTGAGGGCAGGCGGGATAGAGAGGAAGGAGGATGCAGTGCTAGGCTAGAAGCTCGGGCTGTAGCTCTAGGTTCGGTTCCCTGCTCTGCTACAGGCTTCCTTCGTGACCCCTCGGCAAGTCATTTAGTGGCATGGCTACCATGTCTGGCAAGCGTGCCCACTCCCAGAGGGATCAAGATGCTTTTCTCCTGCTGATCTCAGTGGAATTAGGAGCCTGAGTGCCTTTGGGGATCTGTGCCTTATTCTGTCCATGTATCTGTTTCTGTAGAAGTGGGGTGGTAGCACTGCCCTGCTACGGTCATGGGCGCAATACGGTTATGTACTGAGGAAGCCTTGCATCCCTTCATCCTGCAGCTGTGGTGTCATCAGGGCTCCACACTGGTGTTGCACTGGGGGGTTATACACACACCCTGGCACAAGTTGCAACAAAGGAGGTTTAGTTTGGATATTAGGAAAAACTTTCTCAGTAGGAGGGTGGGGAAGCACTGGAACAGGCTACCCAGAAAGGTGGTGGCAGCTCCATCCTTGGAGGTTTTTAAGACCCAGGTAGACAAAGCCTTGGCTGGGATGATGTGGTTGCGGCTGGTCCTGCTTTGAGCAGGGGGTTGGACTAGATGGGTCCTCCTGAGGTCCCTTCCCACCCTCGTTTTCTATGACCCTATGACTGATGATGTAGTTGGGGCTGGTCCTGCTTGGAGCAGGGGGCTGGACTAGATGTGACCTCCCGAGCTCCTTTCCAACCCTCATTTTCTATAATTTCTATGATTCTGTCTTAAGCTCTACAGAGTGGACCTCACCCATGTTTGTCCCTCTTCCTGTAGTGTGTGGGACAGCAGAGGTGGCAGATATTTTGTTCCTCATTGGAGGATCCCAGACCCTTGGGAACAAGGACTTCCGAGCAATCCAAGACTTCATCGACAGCGTCATCCGGACCTTCGCGAACGTGGTGCTGGGGAAGGCGGGCATTCGGCTGGGCGTGACACTTTATGGTGAGAAGCCAAGGTGGGTTGAACCTTCATCCCCTGCTGGCATGCAGAGTCTCTAGAGCATCGGGTCGCAACCTTTTTGAGACTCAGGGGCCCCTCAATAGATTTCGGGAATGACAGCTCTCGTTTGTGAATACAGAAAAATACCAGGGCCATGCTTCTGTTGCAAAGCATCAGAAAGACCACAACAGGCCAGAGGATTTTTGACACCCTGGACTGTGATTTGAAATCTTTGCATTTATCTTGTGGATCATGTGTAGGTGTTTGCACACCTCCCAGTGCTGATATTGTGCGGCACCGTGCATCACCCTTAAAAGGACTCTGTGACCCCCTGGTGGAGAATCGCTGCTCTAAAGCTTTCACCTCTGCCTGTGTCTGAAGCCAGGGGCTCATCAGCATGGTTCATAATCCACTGAAAGGCCCACTGCAGTTTAACAAGGAAAGAGGCCTTTGGAAATGCTGGGGATGGGAGTAAAAGATCCCATCAAATGCCAGAGTCCTGGCAGCCTTAGCAGCACCTAGGTATGGTGGTATCCTTGTGCGAGCAGAATGGCTTGTAGATAGCCCTGAAGGCATGTCCATCACAAGCCCATACCTGCTCATCCTCTACCCCAGCAGCTGACCAGCTTGCTCCCACAAGCTCTGCTGACCCTCAGGGTCTGAGCTCATGGCTCCCCCCAGATCACCCCTTGCTGCATCTGGGTGCTCGGGCACTGCAGAAACAAGGTTGGGAAGTCCACCATCACTACCTGTTCTCAGGGTCCCACCCTTCTGTACTCCACTTCCCATCTCCACTTCTTTCATAGTACGAGCCAAGCATGGATGGAGAGACAAGTCATTTGCAGATTGCTTCCTAGACGGGCTCCACTTGAGGACTAGGCAGCTGGTTGGCACCCTGTCACTGGTACATGAAGGGCAGCACAAAGGGCAGGTGCATTAGGGTGTGAGGTTCTTTCACTGACCTGGAGCCCACTTCACTTTCAGAAGTGGGAGAAGCTGCATGGCCCAATCCCTGCTGTGTTTCACCGGGATAATGACAATTCAACCTCTCATTCACAATCCCCTCGTTTACCACTCCCAGGATGGGGATCGAGTTGGCAGATTCCACCACCATTGAAGAGGTGCTGGAGGCCGTTCGGGACCTCTTGTTCAAAGGGGGAAATGTGAAAATGGGGGATGCCCTGACATTTGTGGCCCGCACGGTGTTCCACCCAGCGGCGTCGAGGGACGATGCAGCAAAGGTGAGAACTGCAGAATGGCTCCCCTGGTCATCAGTATGGAGGCAACCCAGGACCTCCGTCTCTAAATACAGGAGTCTTTGGTGCCTGAGCTGAAGGAACAGGGAGCTGGTGCTTTGGCCTAGTGGTAAGTGGAAGCTAATTCCTAGTAGATAACTACCCCTCTTTCACTGAGGATTAAACTACTGTGGGTTAACTTTCATTTACCATGGGGTAAAGGTATGCGCTCGGTCAGGAACCACAGTACCTGTGGTTCCTGGTACCGAGTACCTGGAGTGCCTGGAGAGTCCTGTCCCCTCTAGCCCCAGGGTAACTTGTTTGTATGTCCAAATGCAAAGACAATAGCAGATTGACAATGTGTATGCCTGGATTTGGCACTAGAGAGGGACAAAAAGCCTTGCTGGGTGGGTGACACCACTGCGGGATTGTGTGTACCTGGTCTTGGGCACAGAGCTCAGCAGGGCACGGGGGTGATGAGAGTGCCATTGCTGCCCTGCCTTATAGCAGCAGCGCTCTCGTTTCTGTGGCTTATTGTTTTGACGTTAGTCCTAGACCATCCACTTCCACTAACCAAACTACCACATGCTCCCTATAGATAGGAAAGGGGTTTTTATATTCCTTTTTTAGTCCAATCTTGTCAGCGTGCAGACACTCAAAATCTCCTGGGGGGGTCCTACCCAGAGGAAGGACTTGTAGGATAAAGAGTTGCTGACTTTGGCCATCATCTCCAGTCTGGCCATGGATGGACGTTGTTCCTATCTGATGGCTCAGTTGGATGATGCCGATGGCCAAGTGTTTGGTGTCTTTGGTGCAGCTGGAATCCCAGGCTTCTTAGTACTTCTGTTATGCATGGGATCGTTGAGTTGAAACCGTTCTCTCTCCTGGGTCAGAGCTCCCTTCCCTCTGGAGCAGAAGGTGCATGGGGCAGGAAGAGCTCACCTGCCTCTGATACCTGTTCTGCGGATAAGGAAACCACCTCTGCTTTCCAGGGCTGTCAGCCCGGTTCCTTCCTAATCACACTCTCTAAGGATCATCAGCCAGCAGAGCGTGTCAGTCACTCCTGGTACACGCTGCAAATTGCTCATGTTCAACACCTTGTTATCTGGCTGTAACTCTGCTGCTTTGCAGATAGTTATTTTAATAACCGACGGGGACTCTGCCGATTCTGTTGAAGATGCAGCTGTAGCACTGCAGGACGCGGGAGTTACAGTGTTTGCTGTGGGTACGTATGGTAGTGATGAAGACCTCTTTGCGCCTCACCAGAAGATAATCACATGTACAAAACAGGCTGTTCACCAGTGAGTATTGGAATATAGCGTAGAATATGTGCCGCTCTGTACTGCATGCATGCTACCAAATCCTGCAGAAGCATTGAGGAGAGGAGAGCTGTGAGGTCTGCATTAGAGCAGGGTGAGTTGTTTGGGTTTTTTTGATGAATAGTGTTTAAAAATGCAATCGGGGTGAGCAGACCTATTTGTTAACTCAGGTCAAAGGTCAACACCAGCATATAATTTCTCTCTAAAAAAAAAAAAAGAAGGAAAGCGTCCCCAAAAGCCAAGCCATTTTGCACTTGCCTTCTCAAAGTGATTTTTCATTTGCAAATGATGGTTTGCAACCAAATGGGCTAAAATTAATCTTAAAAATGTAAAAAGTTTCACTCTCCTCCCAAAGCAAATCAACCCCTTGGTTTGAAGTTGGGCAAAACATTCAGTTTGACCCCAAAACCAAACCTTTTTTTTTTCAATTTCCCAAAGGCTCTTTTTTGGTTAGGAAACAGCATTTTTGGTCCAGGTCAACCTGAAGGAACTTTAAAAAAAATCTTAATCTTTCAGTTTCAATTACGCACACAGAAATTCAATTATTTGCAGTCCAGACTGCGCCAGGTAATACCAATACGCTGCTGAATACCCAGCATGGTTCTCTGTCCCTTTTCAGCTCATTTTGGAGGGGACCTTAGTGAGGACTGAAAAGCCCTCACTGCTGGGGTGAAAAGGGATGTTTCATTTACCCCCGGGCAATACAAAAGGGGGTCAGAAGGGGCAGATGCAGGGGGGTGCAGTGGTGCATTTGCACCCTGCTTTGATTCCTGCTCCACCCAACCTTCAAACCAACTGCCTGGAAGGGGAAGTGGCATTTCTATTCAGGCAGCAGTGGGTGAGTCACCTGACTTCATGGCTCATTGTCATCTCACTGATTCTTGCTAATCTCTCTCCACTCCATAGGTGTTAATGACCCTCTCTCTGTTTTAATGGCCTCGATGTTCCACTATTCAAACTATCCTTTCTTTTGCAATGCTGCTGGTAGCCATTCCTGGTAATGTGTCTTTTCCGTTTCACACCCCTGCAGACAACTGGTTTTTAGCTCCCGCTAAAAAACTTCTCTCAAGCCTGGTGACATTAACTCAGGTGAACTTTAACCCGGGTGTGGAAATAACTGGCAATGGAGTGCAGGATGCTCTGTCAAGATGCTCAAGAAGGCTAGATTTTATTATATGACTCTGAATAAGACAAGCACATTTAACTCTAATGACTGCAGGACTAATGAAATGATATATTTTGGCTGTTTTTACTGAGTCTGCTGCATTTTTTTTAAACTTTACATAGAATTTCGCAAATGAGAGCACATCCTAATAAAGCTATATTTGTTTTTGCTTTGATCTTCTACTGAGTAATACCAGGCCCCTAAAAGCTTCTAGTTTTCCTTTAACTTAAGAACAATGTGTTGTGTTATATGGGATGATGCACCACACTATCTGCACCCACCTTTTCACAATCCTAAATCCTCTTGTGGGTCAGACATTGCTATTCTAGTTGGGTCACAGTGTCCCCGTGCTCTGCATGGGAGTGGGAGTGTTAATTAGTGGAGACTGAGATCTGCTTTCTTTCCCTGCATGCTTAGGAATTAAGAACGCCAATAAGAACGAGCTGAAGAAAATAGCTTCAGAGCCCACGGAGGAACACGTGCTTTATGCGGAGGATTTCCACCTGCTCCATAACCTGTCCCCCAAACTCTCCCGCAGGCTGTGCTTCACTGCCTCGGAGCCCCCACGGCCGGCCAAGATGACTGTGAATGGTGAGTCTGGGCTCCCCCATGCCTTTGCTTGAATCAGACGAGAGTGGAAGGCACCCTTGCTCTGTTAATTTGTGCAGGTTTTTAGGATAATTTCTGTGGTCCTTTTGTAAATGCCTGTAGAAACCTATTGGGTTTTGCCCTCTCTTCCGTTCTCTGTAACGTGCACAAGTGCCCTAGGATGTCTCCATGAGGAGAGGAGGAAATCTTTGGATCCAGGCACAAAGGCAGAGTCCAGATCCTTCTAGCCTACATAGGAACCGGCTTGCCTTGGTCATGCTTTCCTGGCAAGGCCACCTGTGAAACCAAAATGGCACTTTGGCTCATAAAGGGTCTGGCTGGTGCTGACTGTCTGGCCCTACTCATCACCTGGCATGTCAGGCAGTTTTTCTTTCCCTGCCTGCTTTTAGCTGAGAAGATTGTCGGCCCTCGGGATCTGCTGGTCACGGAGCAAGGTCACAGCTCGTTGAGGCTGACCTGGACTCCTGCCATGGGGAAGGTGTCGGAGTACCTCGTCCTCCAGCGTTTGCTCTCAGCTGCTGGGCAGCCTGCTCCTGAGGACCAGCGGCAGGTAGGGCTGCACTCACCCTGCGCAGAGACTCGCTCCCCTTCCTCCCCCTGACACCAACCCGATGACTTTTGTCTATATGGGGCATTTGTCGTGGTTTTCAGAGGTGCCAAGCACTTCCAATTGCCACTGGCTTAGACTCTGGAGCGAGGCCCAGGCAAACATCTGAACTTCTGCTGGTATCCTGTGCAGATCTCTGAACTAGACAAGCTAGGTTTCCTGCCCATGACTAATCTGGAAGGCCCAGATCTAGGGAAAGCAAGGTCAAATATCTGCCCAAGCCTCACGGGCCCTCAGGGATAAGGCATGCTGATGTTTGAGACTGGTCTCTGCCACAGACAACCCAGCTCACCTTGGGCAAACCACTTAAACTCTCTTTGCTGCGCAGGCCAGAGAGCACGTTTCTATGCCAGCTGCCCTTTATAGCCTCTGCCATCACATTTACAATCTGAAGAAAACATGGGAAAAACCATGGCCAAAGTGATCCCTTTCCCAGTAGCAGCCTCTTGCTTTTCACTAGGCACTCGGTCTCAGGCCCATAGAAGTAAATGGAAGGGTTCCTCTTGGATTTAGCAGGGTTTGAGGATTAAGTCTTTTGCCCCCTTGGATTTCCTTGGGCTAGTCTCAGAGACTGTCTCCCTCCCCTCCATGCTATTTTAATCCTTGGGATGTGAGCAGCTCTACCAAAGACCAAGCTAGACAGATCTGTTGAAACCCTTTATACCCCTAATTGTGATGAGCAGAGAGGTGGATAGCACATTAGCCTTAAAGGTGCCACCACGTGCTTCTGGATAGCAAAAGACCAGATATGGGGAGCTGAAGGAGAAATTCCTGATCTTTGCCCAGAGCAGCTGAGGACATATCCTACTGTCCAAGGGATTCACTGTCTTGCTGACTTCCTAGCAAAACCCTCCCAGTTCCCTTCGCCGTGTTGTGTAGCTCACTGCTGTCTGATGTGAGCTTGGATAGCCAGCATGGGGGGCCTCTCTCTGATGGACAACAGCCTGATGTGCCCAGTTTCATCCAGCTGGGACCTGGGACTGCATCTGCCCCACTGGGCCCTGACTCATTGCTCACCAGAGCCAGCATCCTTTTCGAGAGACCTTGCCCAACAGCGCCCAGCTAAGCCCCTCTCTCCTCTTTCCCAGCTGGTCGTGGACAGTGACAAGAACACCGTGCTGGTGCCAGACCTGAAGCCCAACACCAAGTATTTCTTCACAGTCCAGGCCATCTACCCAGATGCCCCCAGGGAGTCGATGACTGTCAAAGGGAAGACGAGTGAGTCTGTCCTTGGATATGTCTCCCTTATTTTGCATTTATGTATTGGGGTGTAAAGGAGCTGGCGGAGGGATGCTGCATGTAGCATCAGAAGGGTCTGATATCGCTTGGTTTAATGACCAAAGCACTGGTGGTATCTGGTTTGAGGGCCTGAAAACAGGTGAGTGCAGGGATTTTACAAAGCTCTGTATGATGGGTCCTAGGAGGGCTCAGGGCTGGGTGTATGCAGAAGAGTTTGTGGGAATAGAAACTTGGTTATTTCAAGGCATTATTCTGCTGAGCTCCACATATCCCTGCAAGGAAGAAATCCATCCCCGTGATGGGAACAGATAGGCCTATGCATGGCTGTCTGTTCCCCATATGCTCTATTTAAGTGACTCATAGACCTTATACTGCCCTATACACAAACCCAACAGAGTAAGCGCCTGTTGTCAGGAAGTGCCATCCGCGTGGTCCCCGTGCAGCATGGGGAATCCACTCACAATCGGCTGATCCCTGCTTGGCATCATCAGACTGGCAGGATAGTGGCTGCTTTTTACACGTCTAACTCCCATTTTACTCTCGTTAAGACGTTTTCCACTGCTTTATCGGGATTGTCTCCCTGCTATATTGAGTCATGTAGAGTCCCTCTGCTGTTACGTTGCACTCTGTCTTTTTGAACCACATTCCCAACATCAGACACAGTCATAAGGTTAGAAGAGACCTCCAGCACAATCTTGCACAGAAGCAGATAGTTACTCCTAAGCTATCCCTGTCCAGTGCTTATCTCGCTTCTTCTTGAAAACCTCCCAAGGGGGCTAAATTCAGTCCATTCGGTACTGATGCCACTGTTTCCGTGGGGTCTGGTTTTGCTGGATGGAACGTGTCTTGAAACAGATGTTTCTGAGCCGCAGATGTGCAAAGGAGCTGCACACATTCAGCTCCTCTGTCTTGCAGGAAGCACCTCATCTGCTTGCCCAACAGGCTCCAACAAGAACCGTTCCTTTCGGAGCGATACCTAATTGTCTGTTAAAGGGAAGATCCCAGCCAGGCTTAATGAAGAACGAGTTTCAATAAGGCAAATTCATCCATGCTTGCTAAGAATGAGATGGGAGGTTATTGCGGTAGGAGCGAGGTTGTGGGATCTCATCTCTTCTTAACCCTGGCATTAAGCCTGGGGAAGACGCTTGACATCTAGGTGTTGTGGCTGATTGGTTCACACTGGGCTTCTCTTTGCTCAAGGTTTTCCCCATTGCATGTCTTCATGTTCACTTCGTGATTTTGCTCGGTCTTCAGTGTAGTGTAGCACGTGAAGTCCATGTGGCAGGGCGGGTGGGATAAGAAGGAGCAGAGCTGGGGATGGAAAACAGGAGAGATGGGCACGCTTTATCCTGCTTGGAAAAAGAGGGCCTGGCACCCCGTTCTTTGCTTTCATGGTTCCTTTAGAAAGAGGTTGAATGGAGACTTACCCCAGAAGGGAGATTGTTCTCCTTTGCACCTTGGTAAGAAAACCAGAGAACGGAAAGAAGAATTTAAGAGTGATCCTCAGTCTAACATACCCAATGCACTATTACAAACCCAAGGGGCTACCAGAAATGCCGCGGTCCTGCAAGATCTGTACAGCTGCACATGAAGTTCCTGATAACAAAGCCAGTTTTACATTCAAATGCACTGTGCCTTCTGCAGGAGGGCAAAGATAATGAGAAGCTAGGTATGTTTCCCAGAGCTCTCTGCGCCATTCGAAGCAGGGGTGCATTGTGGGCAGTTTCGGCGCAGTTGCTGTTCAATGCCCAGTTTTGCAAATGAGCATGCAAGAGGTGACAGACCCGAAGAGCAGAACCAAGCATCCTCCCGGGGTATGGAAGGGAGGGTCGGGAATCAGCTCCTTCAAGGTGTACTCACCTGATTGTCTTCTTATCTTTGGAGATCCAGGGCATTTCTCTGCTTTGTGTCTTTGCTGCGATTCATGGAAGCAGTGCTGCCCATTAACCTCAGGGTTGTGTTTGTATCTTCAAGCACCTGTGCCTCCAGTGACTAATTTCCGGGTCATTGAAGAAGGCCTCTTCAGCCTCAAGGTGGCTTGGACGGCTCCCCTGGGGAGGCTGGAAGGCTACAAGATCTACATTCCCAGACGTAAGTGGAGGTCTCCTGGGCTTTCAGGTCCACTTCATGGCTCGTCATGCAACTGGTTGGTCTTGCAGAGCTGTTTGGGAAGCTGAGTCTGGCCACTTCTGTCCGCTAAGGCCAAGCGAGTGCTTTGCGCTGCAGGGGGAATGGCAATGGGTTGTCAGCAACCTTCTGGGATGAGGTTGCATGGGTGTCATCTAATTCATCTGGGCTCTCCAGGTGGAAGTAGGACTTCTTCTACTTTTGAGACATCCAAGTGGAACATATGCCTGTGTTCCCAAGTGCGATCCATGTTACGGCTCAGCCATCACCAAAACACTGAAGGTGTCTCAGTTCATGAAGTGCCTTCATTTCAGCCAGAAACGATCCCCAGGGAGACTTGTCCTTGCTTGCAGCACGTGCTCAGAATTGGTCCAGGATGACTCCCCACCTACGCTCTGCTGTGGTCCAGTTGTAGCTGGGGTGTGCATGCACTTGGGAGAAGCCCACGGTTTCTTAGATGGAGGAAAACTGTGCTGAGCAATTGTATGAAGCTGAGATCATGCAATGGGGAAGAGAAGGGCTCTCCTGTGCTTTGCCAAGTGGCCTAGTGGTTAGGGCATACGCTTGGGAAGTGGCGCTTGACTCCTTCATTCTCAGCTGCCCAGTGGCCCATCCTCATGGAAAGAGGGGAAGGGACCCTCAGTCCTGCTGAACCCCTGGGTGGATGGTCAAGTTGGAGATGAGAGTTCAAACCCCACAGGCTGTGTAGGGACTGGCCTATCCATCCCACCCCTGGGCCAAGTGCCCCAATTGGTAAGCTATTGAGATGGCTGGGTCCTCCTTACTTCACCTTAACGGCAGTGCATCTGTCCATGGTTCATGTGGGGTCTTCTCCTCTCAAGGAGCTGGTTTCCGACTTGGCAGGAAAGCACCAAGCTGCCCCTTGAATGGCTGGGGGAGCTACATATCTCCCTGGGCACAACAGGATGGGTTTCCTGAGGTGGGGCTCTCGTTTTTGGCTGAGCGGTCGCTAAATCATAGTTGGCCCATAGGCTGAAATTGTCTCCTGTGCCCAGGTCCTATACTGGCCTGGTAAATATGCCGTGTGGCTCCCTCATCCTGGTGTCCCCGTTGCTTTTGGTCCCCACAGCAAACATGCCTGGGATGACCTATGAGCAGATTCTGGAGGCAGATGTCACATCTCATGTGCTTCCCGACCTGCAAGAGGATAAAGAATACACTGTCAGCATCTACGCCATGTATCCAGAGGGCCCGAGCCAACCGGCGTCTGTGACAGCAAGAACATGTAAGAGGTTTGGCTTCTTAGGTAGTGTTATGCCTACTCTCATTTGCATTTATGAGATATGCAAACTCTTATTTGCATATTCATACCTGGCCGTGTGCTGTACCCAAGACTCATGCATGCTCATTCGCATATTCACACATGTTCTCATGCCTTATCCAGGCCTCATACCTGCTCACTTCCATGTTCACACCTGCTTACCCAGAGCCAATGCAAGCTCATTTCCACACTGATAGACTCTTGCCTATGCTCATCCAAACATTCAGATTTTGCTCAGACCTGCTGTCACTCTCACTCCCGCATCCCTTTACCTGCACACTCTCACCACTGGGGATTGCAGCCTCTGCTCTGACCTATGTCATCAGGTGGAGGTACAGAAAACTCTGTTCTTGCTGTGTGCAAGCAATGGAAGGCACCATTAGGAGCTTAAATATGAAAACCAAGTTGTCCCGAAGGTTGCATCCCCTCCTTGGCCTTCAGGGTTGGCCTCTTCTTGAGGCTGCAGAAGCAGGCATCAGCTCCACAGGTTTTGGCTATGCCATTGAAGGCCATTGCATCCCCTCCTTGGCCTCCAGGGTTGGCCTCTTCTTGAGGCTGCAGAAGAAGGCATCAGCTCCAGTCTCACCATCAGTGCCCATCTCAGCAGATAGGATCATGCAGGTGGAGATCCTCACTGCTTGCTAGATCCAGCCTCATACCAGCAGCCGTGGTGTAAATCCTGTCAACACGGGTCCGGGAGAGGGCAGCTGTGCACGCTACCGCTTGACCTCCCCTGCTAGGTCAAGAAGACTTCACCATCCCTGCAGTCCACCCTCTCCCCACACTGGGGCCTGGATCTGTCAGCACCTGGCTCCTCTCCACTCCCACCTTGCATTTTGTCTTCATTCAACATGACTCCAACCAGACTGGCACAGGCCAGAGATAGTGGTGGTGACAGCTTTAGTTTGCTTTGTTGCCTCTCTGGCTGAGGGTGATGGGTAGACAACTGCCTTTTATTTGCTGCATTAAGGCTGGAAGGCTACGATGGGATGTTTAGAAATCTTCCCCCTTCACTGATTGACATGCTGGAGTCAATGAAAGGCAGCCAGCAGTGCCTGGAAAGTCACTGGGTGCATGGGCTGCAAAGGCACTTTGCTAAGAGGTTTGTCCCCTTGTAATCTTCCAGTGAGGTTCCTGCCTACGAGAAGCGTCTTGGTGCAGAATGAAACCACCAACACCCTCCAGGCCAGGTGGATGCCGGTCCGAGGGGCTTCTGGTTACAGGCTCACTTGGGTGTCCACAGGTACAGCATCAGGACACAGAGGCAGGGTGGGAGTTTTATTCATGGTGATCTGTCAGTGACTTGCACCCTACGTTCCCCTTGCCGCTTGCTTTTGTCCTTGTTGCTCCTAACAGGGCTCCGCTTCCTCTACTAGCCTCCGGCAATGTCTCTGTTCCATCCCCTGATCCCCTAAACCAGCCAAACCTGACCTGAATTACAGGAAGGATCCTTTCCCTGCCCCATGGGGCTTTCCGGGGGGAGGCATTGGATTATTCCCTGTTTGAGATGAAGGCAAGATTTTTTTTCATGCTAAAAATACAGGATACAGAAATGGAACCCGGCGCTGTCACAAACTCCCTGTGTGACCCTGAGTAAGGTCTCCTCCCCTGCCCTCGAGCTTCTTAGCCGGCGCGTCTACATGAGACGCATTAGCCTAACAACACTGCGCAGTAGCATGGCGGTTAGAAACCTACTGCGCAGTGTTATGAGGCTAATGTGCATAAGAGTCACAGAAAACCTGCATGCCGACACTCCTGCACAATAACTCTAGTTGCTGTGCATTTAGTTAGTATTTCATTAAACAAGTACTAAACTAAATGCACAGTAATTAAGGCACATTAATGAACTTGTAGACGTGCCCAGCATGTACAATACAGATAATAGCCAACTTAGGCAGTGTGCGTGTAATTTAGGAACAGCTAGAGAACACTGTAGTATCTCAGAGAGGAAGGTGCTTTTGGGGTTCATTACAATAAGCTAGACATGGGTGGATCTTCCAAAATAGAAACAAGCAGCCCAAACCCCAGGTGCTTATCCAGTCCTCCTGTTTGGCTCCCATATCATTTGGCTGGATAAGGGGTGAGCTGTTGCTTTTTGTCATTGGTGTGGTATAGGGACTGTCTCTTTTTCTCTGTATTTGTACAGCACCTTGTGCAACCGGGCACAGATCGGTGACTCGTATTTCTGGGGCCAACTGCAATGCAACTAGTAATACTACTCATCATTTGCTTTCACATCTGCTGTGTTCCTACCCAATGGGCTGTTGCTTAATTTTTAATCACCTCACCTAGAAGAGAAGAGGCAGCAAAAAAAAAACCCCCAAAAAGGTGCTGATGGGAGGATTACTGTAGTTTCTCCTTTAGCCTCTGCACTCCAGGGTTCAATTTCTATTGAGGCATTAGATGAGCTGTGTCGAAATTATGCAGACTGCAGATGCAGTGGTCAGGGTGACATGGAGCTGTTTCTGTTTGTGCGTCTGCAGTCTTCCCTTCTTGTGGTACCGCCCCGAATGGCCGCTCTGAAGAGGCTCTGCCAGGTCACGGCCAATGCCACGCTGCTGGCAACACTATTGCTCCCCACTTCTTTGTAGCATGGGGGGAAATCTTATAAGGACCTGTGTCTGTATGTGTGTGTGTGCATGTGCATGCATGTGCATGTGTGCATGCATGCACGTACATGCATGTGCATGTGTGTGTTTGCATGCACTTGCATGCATGTGCATGTGTGTATGCGACTAATGAGATGTGTGTGTATCACCATTGCTCTCTGCTGGAGAGAGTCAGAACTGCTCACCCAGGTGTTGCAGGTCCTCAATAGTATTGCTAGCTAAAGGGGGGGTGTTTGTGCAACCTGTCTGTTCAAGTAATAGCAATACATTGGAAAGCCCCCTAGTTGCCCGGACTCACAAGTTGGTAGCAGCCTCCCAGAAAGGACCGGGGGCATTTTCTGGCATGGGTCAGAAACACCCCCCTCCCCATGATGAACATGACTGGGCATGACACCTCGAGATCAGCCCCCCACCCTACTCGTAGGAGGGTTTCAGAGGCACGATCCCCTCTGCTTCTACCCTGAAATGTTCTCCCCAGCCAGTGCGTCTCCCAGGACAGGGCTGATTTTTCTTTTCTGTGTTCCAAGACGGAGAATAGATAAAAATAAATTAGCTGCGGATGTGGCGAGAATGTGGATGGAGGAGGGTTGGGAGGGGGGAAGGGAGCGTGTAGAGCTAGCTGCATGGAAAATGGGGATGTGGCACCCCCCAGTGATGGACAGAAAAATAGCAGCCCTTGGTTTTATATCCACAGCAGGGGGGAGACCCTCCAGGAACCGGGATGGGCAAGGCCCTGCTTGGCTTCCTCCTTCCAGGCATGACCGGCTGGCTCCCTGTGGGATCACATATCTTGTCACTCTGGGGATGCTTAGGAGAGAGCGGCGTGTGCTTTTTTCTTACTCCCTGAAGTAACGGCTGACCCCTTCTTGTCCTGCCCAAGATCCTTCCAGAGCTTCATGCCATGGGAACCATCGTGCCAGCAAAATGAGATGAGACAGGAGCCCATTGACAGCGCTCCCCTCCCACTGGGACCCTTTCCGATCACCTGAACGAACCCCATCTTCCAGCAGGCGCTAAGCATTTTACCTCCTCATCAGTCCAGGGGAAGAAAATCCCCGGACTAGGAGCAAAGCCCAGATCTTCCCTGGGATGGTACAAGATCCCACCTCTCCTAGCAGAATGAACGCTGGTCCGAAGTCTTAGGGTGGCGGCTTCTTAATCCCGGCTCTGCCACTTGCTGTCCCTCGGTGACCGTGGGGAAATTGCTTCGTCTCTAAGCACTTCTGTTTCTCCCCTGCTCTTGCACTTAACCTTGGGAGCTGCGGGGCTTATTACATGTTGAACAGTGCTTAGCACATAGGCAGCCCCCTAGACACGCTGAATCGTTTTCCCCTTTATGGTTGCAACTGTGCTCATCAAAGTCATCCAGACCCTTGTATTTAGTTAGCTAATCTAGTCTGGTTGTACCGGGTTGGTCTTTGCAGCACAGTGATTCTCAACAGGGAGTGCTGTGAGCCTTGTGCCTTCAGTCTCAAAAGGTTGAGAAGCCCTGCTCTAATGTCTCAAAGACCCACGGGGAGTTTATGTAGACCAGCAGGGTAGACCAGAGTAGGTCTATCAAGCTGTCATGTACCATTGCTGGTATTTACCATCCCATCTCATGGCCAGACCATGCCTGTTGGGCTAGGCCCCGTAAATAGAGTCCCTTCCCAGCAGATCTTACAACCTACATAGGCAAACGGAGCAAAGAAAGACTATTCCCCCATTTTGCAAGGGTGGGACTGAGGCGAGAGAGAGACCTCCAGTCCCACAGAGAGCCTGCGGCAGATCTCCTGGGTCCCAACCCAGTACCTCAGTCACAAGCACATCCTTCTTCTACGCTCACCCTTTGTGGGTTTACCTGATCGCACGCTCAGGTTGGTGTAATATGGATGACCACCAGCGTATGCCATTCAGGTGGGGGGGTGACGTTCTGCTGTATTTTAGGGGCCATAAACATGGAGGAGGGACCCTCATCACCGCTCCTAAAGCTTGACTCCCATATACTCCACCCCCTCTCTCTTTTCCCTTCAGAGGGCAGTGTCCATAATGTGAACCTGGATGCCACTTACACCTACTACATGATCCAGGGGCTGCAGCCTGGCACAGAATACACCGTCACCATCAACCCCGTCTTCGGGGACATCGAGGGGCCTGTGGTGAGCAGAAAGGCAACTACCTGTAAGTACCCCAGAGCAGACAAGTGAGAAGGGGATGAGCTTAGAAGAATGAGCGGAGGGGAGCAGATGGAGGAAGGTTTGCCTACACGGTCTCCAGGCTATGCCAGGCGGTATCCTTGAATGCTTACACCAACACGTTGCAAAGGGGTGATATAGCCACCTCTTAGTGGCCTTGAGTGAAGGCCCCTGTGCTGTTCTGAATGATAATGCTGTTCTGAATAATGCTGCAGGCCTTCCTACTGCAACATGCTCACAGTCGTGCGAAGTCCCTCCTTTCCGGGATTTGGCATGTGTGGGTCAAGAGAGGGCAGATGAGGCCTGGCTCATGGTTTCATTGCCACGTGTGGCACGGAGATGGGGTAGAGAAGTCCAACATGTCATATCTAGCTGAAAGGAAGGGTGATGGGGGATCCAGAAGGATTGGGGTATGGGAGGGAGGGAGGATGAGTAGAGCTGGTGTGACCCATAGCAGAATAACTTGGGATGGAGAGCAAGTGTCTGCTGAAGGAAGCCAGCATGATCCTGGCACTCCCTACCTTAGATCACGGTGGGAGCAAGAACCCAGGAAATCTGACTCATTTGTAGTCTCCCACAAGTCACTTCACCTCCCCAAGCCTCAGTTTCCATCAGAAAAAAACTGGCATGATGTTAGTCGCTGTCTTTTGTGAGATCCGTGGGAGTGACTATCAGGGCACTGCTTGTTGGCGTGAAACCTGAAAGCAGGAGAACGGCCGAGCACAACCACATTTATTGGGACCTACCCCAGGGTGGTTGTGAGATAACCCGGTCTCCCAAGAAATGGCCTGTTCACTACTGTTCGTACCCATACTATTGTGTATGAACCACCCTCCCATGTTGGTGCATTGCAATCCAAATGACCTGAAGGCAATCATACGCTAGCAATCACCGCTGAATAATGTGCACTGTGCATTTTTTAATTTACACGACTGGAAATGCAATACAGCTTAAAGACACTGCACCTCAGAGGTAATTGCTCCACGCACTGAAGTGCATTGATTTTAATTCAATATGGATGGCAAGTGGAGATGTGGATGGCAAAGACTTATAGGAGTCCTAGGATGCTTCTGAATTAACAGCACACCATGAGACAGTTTGGAGTTGATGGGACTCGTGGTTGATTGTATTGCGGTTGTTTAGTGTCCTGTTGTCTTCTACACAAACCTGAGTCCAGGTTTGCCTGTGCTCCTCTTTGTCCTGGTCAGTCACAGTCATCTCATAACCAATATCCCCCAGGTGTGGCTTTCCCCCTCTCATCTCATGCATGCAACCGCCTGGTGCATTGCAGCTGTTTGTGCGTCGCTTGGGGCGTGACACGCAGCCCCGTGAAGTCAGTGGGAGGCTTTCCTCTGGTGGTGCCTTGGGCTTGTTGCCTGACGTTGCCTGGATCTGTCTCTCACAGTGCCATCAAGTTCTGTCCAGGCTCTGAAAGTGGCCGATATAACGATCAGCAGCGCCCGGGTCTCCTGGGATGCAGTCACGGGAGCCAGTGGGTACCGAGTGGCTTGGGGTCCAACTCCAGGTGAGAGACACAAATGTAGAGATAATCTAATCTATGTCTCATACAACTCCCCCCTGCCCCACCGGTCTCCCAGCACCACTGCAGCATGAGAGCTAACATTGCAAGCACATAGAGCCAGGGCACTGCTGATATGCTCACATCCCCTGAGCATTGCATTGACACCAGGCACTCTTACCTTGCAAGCTCTTGGCCTCACTCTGGTTTTACTTAAAGAACCATGGGATTCTGCCTTGGTACCAAATATGGCCCCTTTAAATGGGTGTCTTACAACTGGCCCCTATATAAGAGGCCTCTCTCCAGCCAGGGTGGGCTTGTGCCAGGTTTCTGTATCCACATTAGAGTCAGTGCCCAGTACCAGAGATGAGGTCAGAGTGTGCTGCGCTCGGCCTTTCCATTGTTTCTCAGGATCCAAAAGAGCCTGAGAGAAGCAGAGAATAAATTAGAGTATCCCAGAGGCTGAACTAACTTATACAGGAGTGGTGAGTGGGGCAGGGCATATGAGGGGCACAGAAGTCCCACCTTAGCCTTTTCCAGCCCTGTCCCCCTACCAAAAACAGGCATGCAGGTGCTGAGAACAGGGCCAACTTGAGCAGAGGCATAGCCCACATGCTTCTGATCAGTGGCTTTTCCCATGTAGAGGCTGTACATGCTGCAAGTTAGTGGCAGCCCTGGCTCCATCTGCCTCAAAGCAGTCCTGTCCACTTGGGGGTGGGGCGGTGTTGGTAGAAACTGGTTGAGTTTGGAAAGCTGGGGTTTGTGGTCAAGCCCTTCTAGGGCCTTTGTACACACCACGTTTTTTTGCCCTTTCTAGCGTTGCAGTTGTGTGACTGTTTGCATGAGCAGGATTTCTGGACACTTTAAGTCTTTCTGGTGCATTAAAGTAAAACTCCTCAGAAGTAGTTTAGTTTGGCTCACTAGGAATTAAAGCATTGTTTTCATGGATTCAATGCGTGCAAACACAAAGGCGCTCAAAGACGTGTAATGAGCCTCTTTGTCCACTAGATGGCTGTGACTTTTTATAGTTCACCCCTTTGAATTGCTTTCACTTTCGAATTGCTTCTGCTTTTTTTTTTCTTGTTCAGTTTGCCAGCTCCCTGTGGCATGGGCATGGGCACGGGCACAGGGCACAGGGCATGGGGCATGGAGCACAGGATGGAGGGTGCCAGATTGCGGGGGGGCAGCACCGAACTGTCCTGCTCTTCTGTGGTACTGGCTGGAGACCGGGCTTAATTCATTCGAAAACCTAGTGCGTGCAAACACTGAGCGATGCTCCAAAATAAATAAGTTTAAATTTTATAAACTTATTTAACTTAATGAGGATTAAAACCCGTGGTGTGTACAGGTGCCCCTAATCAGCACTTCCTGGGGTGTTTAATTCTTCTGCTTCTTGGAATTCCTTACAAAACCCTCACCATGTAGAAGTTTTCTGTGATGTTTCTACGGAGGCCACTTCCTCAAAGGAGACACAAATGAACTATCAAGGCCACTTCACAGGTGGGAGACAAGACTCACTGGTTCCCCCCATTGTCCCCACCCACAAGCCATTGACTCCTCCTCCCTTTTGGCTCTTCCCTCCAACAGAATTCTTTGGTCGAGACCGACTGCGACAGACGGTTGTGAACAGCTCCGTCACAGCCTACCAGCTCCGAAGCCTGGCCCATGACACGGAGTATGTCATCTCCCTCTACGTGCTCTTTGGTTCAGTGGAGGGACCTGGGATCACAACTTCAGCCAGAACATGTGAGTACGTAAGCACTGCTGAAGGGACGTGGCCCCCGTCCCTGCCCAGGAATTGATGGCTCCTGTGAGAACTGGCAGTAACCAGAGCAACAAAAAGCACCTGAGACAAAATCTTTGGGTTTTAATAGGGAAGGTGTATATAGCCTAATCAGTAGTGGTTGGAAACCATTTGATTTACAGTCAACATCTCTCATTCCAAAACAATCTGATCTGTCCATCGACTGCTGTGTCCATCGACTGCTGAAATGCAGTTCTTGCTGGAGTAGAACTTGGCAACACAGGGTAGTGCCATACTACAGAAACTGAGAAAAGACATGGCTAACAAACCACAGTATCAGGGCTGAGGTTTGGGCAGTCCTGTCTGACGTCCACAGCCAGAATATAAAGCAGGTAGCTATGGCACTGATCCAAGGTTCAAGAGGAGCAATGGTCTCAAGTTGTAGTAAGGGAAGTTTAGGTTAGCTATTAGGAAAAACTTTCTCACTAGGTGAAACAGGCTACCCAGAGAGGTGGTGGAGTCTCCATCCTTGGAGGTTTTGAACTCAAAACTTTGGCTCATATGACCTAGTTGGGGATGGTCCTGTTTTGAGTGGGAGGTTGGACTAGATGAGACCTCCTGAGGTCCCTTCAAGCCCTCATTTTCTATGATTGTAACACCAGAGGCAGGAGCTAAGATGACAGCCAGAGCTCAATAGCCCAAATGTGAAGATCCAGAGCATGAGGCAGAGGCCATGTGGATAGGAATAGGAAATTAAGCTTGTGCAACGAAAGGAGGGAGCAGGAGGTGAGGGAGAGAACAGGGAGACATGATGTTCAGCACCCTGGAGATACTTCCTTGCAAGCCCCTTAAATAGGTGAGCTGCTTCCTATGAGTGATGAACCAAGGGAATAATATCCAGCAAGGTCAGGGCATATGAGCCTGAGTCATCTTGGCAACATGTGGGGATGAGTCCATGTGTGTGCAGGGGAAGGCACAAGGTAATTAGAGTTCGATACTAAAAAACCAAGCCGTGGGAACCAATAGTGATCAGCACTAGCCAGGACTGTGGGGTTGTATTTCATCCCAAAGACAAGGCTATTCTCATGCTATGGTCTCAGTCCCTCGCTGCCTACAGGGTCTCCAACGCTTCAGGGTTTCTCTTGGTATCTCCCACCCACATTCTCACCCAACCTAATCCAAGCTAATTTGGGAGATGAGAAGGGATCATGGAAAACACTGACCCAGGTACCATATTTCCTTGTATATCACACTTCCTTGAATATAATATACACCTTACTTTTGAAAGGCAGAATGAATTAAAAAAGATCTTTCCTTGTAGTAAGTAACTGGGTAGCAGCTGGGTAGCAGCAGCTAAGGGGCCACACCTGCGCATTGTGTTAATCTCCAGGGATTGCTGCAGATTTAACTTTTCACTGTTGCCTGGTAAATGTGAAAAACTGCTTTTACCATATTTCTTGCATATAATGCACATTCCATTTCCCAGCAGCTGGTTTTTGAGGAAAAGGTATGTATTTGTACATGAGAAAATATGGTATATAGTTTACAGCATGCTCGCAGTCAGTCTAGATCCTTGAATGGTGTAAATCAGCATAGCTGCCTTGAAACCAGTGGTGTTACACTGATTTACTCCAGTTGTGGATCTGTGCTATGATTTCACAGGAAGAATATCTTCAGGGTGACATCCAGGATGGAACAGAACGGCACAGAGAGACTAATTGCTGACCATAATGGCCTCTGTTTCTCATGCCATTAGCAACAAGAGGCCTGATGGGTGCTGGCATTTACTGAATGCAGCATTAATCAGGACACCAGCTCACGTTGCTTTCTGTTGCAGCTCCACTTGGCTACGTGTCCAATTTCAAGGTGACGTCCTACACAAGCACATCCATTTCTCTCGCATGGAGCATCACAGCTGCAGCCACCAAATACAAAATCACCTGGAGCCCAACAGGAGCAGATGGAGGTGAGCAGAGAGCAGTTCTTTGGTCTGTTTTCATGGTGCACTGATCGGTTGGGAGCACAGAAGGCTCTGTGCAGATGGAGGACATTTAAGCCAGTAGCCCACTTGAAAGATCTCATAACCATGGGAGAGGCCTTTCATGTAGCTTTCTGGGCTCTGTGGTAGTCTCCACCCCACCTTCAGTGCTAAGAGCATGAGCCTCTACCAATGTTAGACTCATCCCATAGAGTCCAGCTGGAGTTGGCTTGTTGGTCTTTGTAAGGGAAGAAGCAGTTTAGCCAGGGAGTGCTGCAGGCTAGGCAGGGCACCACACCTGAAGGTCACTGGGGCAGCAAGCTAATAGAGCAATTGGGCAACTGTCATCGTTTGCTGTCCAGATGTGGGCAGGGCCCTGGGAGCTCATAAGCCCACAGTTGAAGCTGGCTTGGGGGGGTTACTCTCCCTGGCAGTCCTAGGGGAAGGAACTCCTGCTCAGGAAAGCCACCCAGAGATGTCTGACTTCCTGCACCCACTGCCTGCAGGAACAGTTGAGCCCAGGATGCTGTAATAGTGAGCGAAGGGGCTTGTGTTTATGTTACTGTCTTCTACCAGTGGTTTGGGGTGAGGCTGGAAGGGGAAGTAAAGAGGCCTCATTAGTGCCCAGGGGGAACTCGACTGCCTTGAGCCCTGGCAGGGGCAGGCTCAAGCACGCAGGGGCCAGGGGCCTGGTGACTGGAAGGGACAAATGAAGCTAATGCCTCAAAGCCAGGTCCAATTCAGTGGTCCTAGGCTAGAAGGCCTAGCAGGATTGAAGGGGCAGAGGCCAAGGAGGCCAAAGCCCCAGCAGAGGGACAACATACCTGTAACACCCATGAGGCATGGGGCATGGTAAAGGGAAGGATTTGGAGCTATGCAATTAGCCCTTAAGGCTTTGGGTGCCCTGCCAAGCATAGTTGACTACAGAGAGCCAGTCAGGGGCCTGGGACCAATGAGGACCAATAGGGTGCTGGGGACCCTAGTTGCGGGGGTTTGGGACCGGAGCTATGCAAAAGTTCATGAGCAGCCTCCCTAATAAATTATATTTCCATCTAGGTGTGGCAGGCGAGACAGGAGGGTGCCCTAGGGGCAGAGTGGGGCATGGTTGCGGAGCCACGGGGGAGCATCACGGCCACCACTGGGACCCCAATGTGTTACAGTCTTGTTGGGACAGGGGCTATAGGGAGGCAAGCTAAACCAGTGTCGCTCAAGCTTTTGCTCCCCAAGGACTGGATGAGTGGCATAAGACCAGTGCATGTGACAGGATTGGATCCAGCCCTGCATGCTGCATGCCCAGATCAGGCCTGCACCACACCTAGCCAGAGCTGATGCCCTCACTTGCCCCATGTACCCCGATTGTGTCCCATGTGGTCTCAACTTGGCCTCAAGTGCTGTGATCAGGCCTCTTACTGCCCCGTGCTTCTGATCAGCTTCTTGCCACACTGCACACCAGATCTGTCACTCAGGACCATGCTATCTGGCCCACAGGGCTCCCCACAGGTCTGAAAACTTGGTGTCAGGGGAGTGGTGATTAATGCTGCCACTGATTCCCTGCTGCTACATTTTCAGACCTGTGAGGATACCCTAAGTCCAGATGACATGGCTCTGAAGGCCAGCTTTGGCTGGGAGTTGATCACCCCTGTCCAGAGATGGGTGACAAATGGGTTAGAAGGAAAACCCTATGAGTGCAGGTTGAAAGGACCAAGTGTGTTTAGCTTGGAGAAAAGATGACATAAGGAAGGACATAATAGCTGTATAGGAAAGGTCAAATAACTGTCCAAGGGGATGGAAAGCACTATGTCCAAATTCCTGAATGACACCAAATTATGGGGCAAAGTAAACACACTGGAGGGCAGAGAGCGGATTCAGGTGGATTTGGACAGATTGGGAAAGTAGGCAGAACAGAATAGGATGCAGTTTAACAAAGATAAGTGCAAAGTGCTGCATCTAGGGAAAAAGAATCACCAACGATCAGATGTAATGAGCAGCAGCACCCGAGTCTCCTGGGATGCAGTCACGGGAGCCAGTGGGAACCGAGTGGCTTGGGGTCCAATTCCACAGATTGGGAGATGACTTTCTAAGCAGCACAGCAGCAGAAAGGGATCTCAGAATCATAGTTGACTCTCAAATGAAGGTGAGTCGTCAATGTAAGGAAGTGATGAGTAAAGCCAACTGCACTCTTTCATGCATTAGAAGGTGCATCACGAGCAGGTCAAAGGAGGTGATACTTTCTCTTTATGTGGCATTGGTAAGACCACAACTGGAGTACTGCATCCAGTTCTGCGCACCGCACTTCAAGAGGGATGAGGATAACCTTGAGAGGGTCCAGAGGAGGGCTACTTGTATGGTCAAGGGCCTGCAGGGAAGATCCTCCAAGGAGAGACTGAGGGACCTGAATCTCTTCAGCCTCCACAGAAGAAGGATGAGAGATGATCTTGTGGCTGTCTCCAAATTCATTGGGAGGGGGCAGCAAGGAATAGGGGATACTCTGTTTACCAGAGCACCCCTTGGAGTTACTAGGAACAATGGCCATAAACTGATGGAGAGCAGATTTAGATTAGACAGTAGGGTGAGGGTTGCCAAAATCTGGAATGAACTTCCAAGGGAGGTGGTACTCTCCCCTACCTTGGGGGTCTTTAAGAGGAAACTAGACAAACACCTGGCTGGGGCCGTCTGACCCCAGTGCTTGTTCCTGCCTGGGACAGGGGGTCAGACTCGATGATCTACTGAGATCCCTTCTGACCCTAAAAATCTATAAAATCTATGAAATGCCGGGACAAAATACTTTAGGCTCTTTCACTAGCCCAGTGTTGCTGCTATGCAGTGGCCCACAGGCTTTCCCGATGGACAATACAGATGGATCCTTAGGTTACAGTGCCCTGATGGGCCTTATTTTCATGCATTATTATTGCTGTTAGTGTAATAATGTGCAATTTGCATCTTGAGAGTAGCTTGAGACCCAGAATACAAGCCCCACCGCACAAACACATGGCAGCTGACAATGGAGCAAAGAGCCTTAAAAAGCAGCTATTTAGGACCTGGTCCCTAACCTGTGCATCTATCACAGCTACAAGGAGGAGCTCTTAAAAACCTCATGGGAAAACTGTGGATGGGGTCAGAAGTAAGAACCTAAGCAATGTCTCGCTGAGTCAGACCAGTGGTCCACCTTGCTCAGTATCCTGTCTCTGACAGCGGCAGAAGTGGATGCTGTAGAGCAGTGCTTCTTAAACAAGGGACCACGGCACTCTGGGCTGCCTTGAGGCATTAATTTGAAGCGCTTTCTGACCAAACAGCCCCAATGTGCTTTGCAAACTCATTAGAAGGATCCTCACTCATCTGTGTGCTGGTGGGAAGCAAGAATTTAGGCAGCATATTGTAGTGCTACACCATAGGTCAGCACATATGCACTGCAGTGCCATACTGAGTCAGACCAGTGGTCCATTTTCCCCACTATACTGTCTCTGACAGTGGCAGGATTTGTACTATGGATTTGTATAGGATGGATTTGAATGGTGGATATATATTTGGATAGAGAGGATCCTGCCTCAGGCAGGGGGTTGGACTAGCAGACGTCTGGAGCTCCCTTCCAGCCCTTCTTCTCTATGATTGTATGACGTGACCCATTGGAAAGAGCAGGGGGTGGGGTAAGGGCATCAAACTGCACTGACCTTAATAAGGATCACGTCAGGACTATCCTGAGGTCATGTGAATGTTGCTGAACATGCTCCAAGCTCATTTTTCCACTCATCATCCCAAAGGCAATGTTTCCAAGCCTCAGCTGAGCTCTGTGCAACCTTGCAATGTGTGTCTTGTGGGGAGAAGGCAAGCTGAAGTGACATGTCACTTGTTCTGGGCTCATCTCAGGGGCTGCTCACATTTACCGTGTGGTTGCCATAGGCTGAAGGACTATCAGGAGGGCAGACAGAGGGGCCTGCCTGTCCCTGAGCTGAGGGCAGTAGGGTAGGGGCAGTATTCCCCATTGTGTTAGGGGTATTGTCCAGCACAGATCCTCCGCCTGAGGACCCCCCGTTTATGCCACTGGTGACTTCTGCCCCTGGCACCAACCTTGGGTCGAGGTGTGTAAGAGACCACACCACCCAGAAGCTTTTCCTCATTCACACCCATTTTCCTTGTCATGTAGTCCCTTCACCCCTAGCTGAGCTCATGCGTGACCCCTGAACCCCCTATTTCTTTACATTTATGTCCTTCCCATTACAAAGAGACCTCAGGAGCATCAGTACTGTGAGGAGAGGCCAGACCCTTTGGAGAAGACACCCCTAATGTTCTCAGCAAATGATCAGCACTGTTCTTCCCCTTTCAGAGCGAGCTATTGCCAAGAGCCAGTATGTGGGGAGCAGGGTGCTTGCATATCGCATCGACCACTTGCTGCCCAGCACGCAATACAGGGTCAGCATTCGGCCCGTGTTCAGCAAGTCTGAAGGCCACGAAGTGACTCTCACTCACCAGACAGGTAAGTCCTGATATCTGGACATCCTTTTGGCAGATTATGACCTCTCACTGCTGCAACAGAGACCTCTCCTGCTCAAGCTAAAGAAGCAGCCCGGTTAGCTGGTGGCAGTAGTGGGTCTATGACATGCACTCTGTCAGCGTGTTCACCAGGTGCTGCATAGAGACATGGATTGGATGTAGGATTTCTGTGGCATCTAGCAAGGTTATTCTTGGAACCAATTTGTTAATAAAACAAGTCCCTGCTTACCCTGTGATGTTTGGGCCTGTCCTTGATTCTCCTTCCCTAAGGCAGTTTTCACCCAATCCCGGAGCTCCTGCATGTGGAGGTAGGAGAAACTGGTGAGTGCACACAGCGCGCCATGCTAATGACCTGCTTTGTTTGCAACAGTGAAAATGGTGGGTAATGTTTTTAGGCTGGTCTTGGCCCCATTAGAGTAGATTGCGCGGGGGCATGGGATTTGCAGCTCTGGGTTGGTTTCCTTCTCCTTCCTCCGCTCCTGCCGTTCCACCTCGGTATTGAGTCATTGGGCATCAAAGTGGCATGTGCTTTGGTGGACCAGGTGGAGCCATGCCGAACAGTCAGCAGCTTGCTCCTCCCGGCTGTTGGTGTCAATGCCTCCGTGCTTGAGGGTGACCTTGAGCATGTCTTTGCACCACTTCCTTTGGCCACCCTTTGAGCACTGATCACAGGGCTGTGATGAAATCTACCCTAATGGGGCCAAGACCAGCCTAAAAACATTACCCACCGTTTTCAGTGTTGCAAACAAAGCAACATATGCATCCAGAATCGGGCTCCTCAGTCACCTGAGGACCCATCAAGCTTGATGGATGTCATTCTTGACTTCAAGGGACCGCCACCGCCGCTGATGAGATTTCATAGACATCAGGGCTGGAAGGGACCTTGCAAGATCATTGGGTCCATCCCCCTGCCCAAGGGGCAGGAAGTCAGCAGGAGTCAAATGCATATAGATGCATAAAGGATACGGCATGGGGCTGGGACTCTGGAGCTCTGGATTCCACTCTTGGTTCTCCTTGTCTGACCTTGAGCAAGACGCTTCGTGCCTCTGCCTCATTTCTCCCTCTTCAGAATGGGGGTAGTAATGCTTCATAGATTAGAAACATGACTACCCTGGCCTCCCATATCACACAGGTCACAAAATCTCACCCTGTGTTGATGCCAAGGCTGATGCACACTTTCTAGCAAGACATCCCTTCTAGATTTGAGGTCATTGATAGATGGAGCGCCTACTGATTTCCTCAGAAGTTTGTTCCGGTGATTAACTTGCTTTCCCGAGGTGCTCAAATATGGTGGCGAGGAGCAGCACAGAGAAGCCTATATATAAAGAAACACACTGTTGGTTGTTCCTGTTTTGTAGGAAACAACGTCTATGTGGTAGGGAAGTTCTGTTTCTGGATAAAATGTTTTAAGGGTAACTTCGGCGGTCTTCCAGTTCACAAGTTTGTATCTTCCTCTTTGGGGCTTTAGATAGACAAGGAATGCCTGCAATTATTACTCGCAGTGAATTTACTGTATGCCATGCATAGGGTCTACACTTTGTTCAGGTAGGAGTGTTGATGTACCTGTGGCTGCAGGTGCCTCCAGGGGGTAATCTGATGCTTGTGAAGACTGTGGGAGAGATGATGTGGCCCATTTCATACTCTGGGCCTATGGCTGCTACACTTATTCACAGCTGGTAGCGTTGTACTCTAGGTGTAGAACGACTGATGGCAGCAGACCTGGTCCTGGCATAAGGCACCATTTAGTGAGAGTAAAGGTGTTGACCTGTGGCCTTACATCACTTGGCTGCTAGGTTTCACATCTCCTTATTTTTTCATTTCTGCAGCCTCTCTCACAGACTTAAACCCCGTCCAGACTCTCCGGGATTTGCGAATCATCAACACTGGAATAAATAGCCTGAAGCTGTCCTGGAAGAAGACCCCAGGCATAACGCACTATAAGATTTCCTGGGCCCCGTTTGGTGGTAAGGGGCCTGCTCCATCAGCTGTGTGCAGTATGGTGCGAGAGCACAGGGGCCTCTGGGAGTTGGGGTAACATCAGCTCAGTTTCCCCGACTGCTTCCTCTTGGTGATGTGGAAACAGGTGATAAGCTGGCTGTGTGGGGGGAAGAGTGGGTGCAAAACTTTGGGAAAGTCAGGTCTGTGTTTCAGCTTGTAGGGGCTAGTGGGCACCCCTGGCTTGGCCTAGAGTTTTCTGTTCTTCTGTAATTTGTTGTGAATCCCAGTGTTAGCCGTGATCAACATCACCCTACATCACCCCTTACTTCCCCGGCAAGCACCGATGCCTTCTCCAAGGTCCATGCCCCACTCAGTACATGGGCAATTCCCTGCTGGCTGCTCTTACAAGCCTTTCCTCCTCAGTCCCTGCCTTGGATTTTCTGGCCAGATGGTGTCCTTCAACCAAGGAGTGAGTAGAGAAAACCCAGGTACCAGTAAGCTCTTTTAGTACAGAGAACTTGTAAGAAAAGGAAGAACAAAACTCGCAAAAAAAAAATCATTTCCATTTTGTTTTTCAAAATATTCATTGATATTTCCTAGTTGTGAAACAAAAGCGTTTTGCAAAAATGACATTTTGGCCCATTTAGTTGAATCCTGGTGGTATTTTTAAAACAATGGTTAAAAGAAATAATATTAGAAAAGGCCTGCCTCTCTCTTAAATCAGATTTTGACTTTAAAAAAAAACCATGAAAAGAATTGAACAATCTGGACACATGGTAGAGGGGATATCTTTTATTAGATGAACAAGATTTTTGCAAAAAAAAATGCTTTATGAAAAGAATTGAGAAACTCCTTTTGTGACTAGTTCTCAAGCTAGGAAAAGAGTCTTTTTTTTTTTTTACGGTGAAAGTACTTTTATTCTCTGCTGAAGAATTACCATTATACCAATTACCTCTATCATTGTAACAATAATAACCATTACCATTATACTTACGTGGCCTTTAAAAAAGGGTCCAACATTCATCATTCTCAGGAGCTCCTGTGATTTAAAAATGCTGCACAGGATTGAAAGCAATTCAAGTCCCACGTTCTGCAGGAGGAGTTAGGGACGACTTTCACCCTTTCTTAGTGCATTCATATTTCATACAAGGGCTGAAGTCAGAGGAGCTGAGAAGAGCAGAGCTGCCCGCACCTGCTATCAGAAGAGCTCCCCCATTACTTCTTGACTTCAAGAGACCTCATAGGTGCCTGTGAGATTTCTCCTCCCTCTTTTAATTTACATTAATACGTGCCTAAAACCCCAACATCACTCTGTAGGCAGAGAAATGTATCCATGGATAACCCAGCTTCCAAAGGCATAATAAAGCTGTCCCATGTCTCTCTAGAGGATAGTTTGTGTAAATGAATCTGCATCAAATGCATCCTTCTTCTTAAACAGGATGATCCCGTAACTAGAGCATTGGACGGGGAATCTCAGGACCTGGCTTCTGTTCCCATCTCTTTCAGCAATTCACCTGGACTGCCTATACATGTGCTCGGGAGTGGAGCGGGGGAGAAGTATTTTAATTAGACCTGTTTCTGGGGAGCTGCTCTAATTAAAACGCTTTGCCATCACGTGTACTAAGCCCCTGCAGATTTAAAAATGGCAGTGGGACACTTTATCTAAACCCCATTGAATGAAGTTCGATAAAGTGCCCCAGTGGCCATTTTAAACCTGCGGGGACTTATACACGTGACGATGAGGCCATGCTGGAGCATGCTAATTAGAGTGCGGACCGGCATGTGTATAGGCACCCCAAGCCTCGTGTAAATCACTTAATCTAGTGTACATGTAAAATACTTGAGTGTATTTTAACAACCCTCATCACAGCAGGACACCGGCTGCTGTGGTCCCCCTGAGTTACATGTGGCAGGTTTGGGTGTTATGTCTTGCGTTGGGTCAGGGTTGATTGCATTGTTTTACTAATACGTTAGACGAGGATTTGTATAGGATGGTTTGGCGAGGGATCAGCCTACCTCTGGCAGGGGGTTGGACTAGATGACCTCTGGAGGTCCTTTCCAGCCCTACTTTTCTATGATTCTTTGATTCTACACTTCTACTTCAGTTCCTCCCCGATTGTCACATCCTCTGAGATCGACGGAGAGAAAGTGCTATAGCTCCCATGCTCCGCGCAGGGAGCAGTGTTTATCCTGCTATTATCACAAGCTGTTCTATTTTTTTTTTTTTATTCTTCGTACTAATTAGGTGGCTTGGAAACCTCGCAGACAGTTCCAGCAGAGCCCACGTTTTTCACCATAACCAAGCTGCAGAAGAGCATGACATACAGCATCCGCGTGTCTTCAGTCACTGGGGAACGAGAGGGAAGCCCAGTGCTTCTCACTGCCAAAACATGTGGGTACCTCGAAAACGTGGGCAGGTGGATCAATAGCATGGCAGCTAGAAATCTAGGACCTGATGTTTACTCGCTTTTATAGAGGGCTCTTATCATGCTACTGGCTCCACTTCTTCTACCTCTACAAACGCTACTGGTTAGATTGGCAGAAAGTAAGTATCCCAGCTGGCTGGAAGGTGGAAACTAGGGGCCGGTTGCCATTTGGAAAGATATCCCCATGCATGAACTTCTGGCCAGATGCAGTCTACATGTTTCGCATCTTCCTCTGGAGTAGTTAGCAGAGGCCGTGCCAGAGACAGGACACCGGACTCTGTGGGCCAAGGTCCTACTTGACTTTTGAAAATCCTATCTTGCCTTTTTTCCATTTGGACCAGAATTTTGAGTCTAGCCCAGCAGGTGCTGGGTTCATTTTAGCCCTACGGGGTTTAGAAAATCCTCCCTCATGAACCCTTTTGTCTCCCTTTTTGGATGTAAAGAATTAAATGGCTGCAAATTAATAATTTCTCTTCTCTTTCCTTTTTAATAGTGGATCTGCCCAAAGTGACTGCGTTCACAATTCAGGAGGTCACAGAGAGCAATGTTTTACTGAACTGGACAGGTGTTCCTGGGGCATCGGCGTACTTGTTAGCCTGGCGCCTGGCATCAGGTAATGGTTCTTCGGGGTAGTACAAGGAGAGACGAGATGCGGTAGGGATATTTGTAAACTGTGACTGCGCATGGCTCCGTAGAAGACTTCAGGATGAGCCACATTGCTAAAAAAATCACCTTTGCTTCTCAGTCTGATTTTGTTTCCCATTACTAAATCCGTTTTTAGTTCACAACAATTTAGGAGTTGCCAATCTGGGTTAGACCTGTGGACCTTTTAGTCCAGCATCTTCTCTCCGAAAATGCCCAGAGCCTATGCCACAGAAGAAAATTCAAGGGACCTATAAAGCACTCAAGGCGCAATTTCTTCCTAACCCCAGTCAATCAAGGATGAGTTTATGTACTATATCATCAAGGTTTTCTATTGGTGGTCACCACCTATTTCAGTCTCGTGTCTCCATATTCACACCTGATCCTTCTTCTCTGTCCTATTCAGCTCCCTTTCTCATTTATTTCTTCCCATAAAGCAGTGCATTGTCCAGTAATGAGAGTAAAGGAATGGGGGACTGTAGCTAAGATGTTTCTTGGCTTCAGTTTCCTAAAGGGATGAGGACTAATAAATGACTGAAACAATAGGGTTTACTCCTCTAGAGCATTAGGGGGCTTAGGTGATATAATATTTATACAGTACTTTGTGATCCGTGGGTGAAAGGCACTGGAAAGAGTTGCTATGTGCTGATAACTCCCACGGCCGAACTCAGGAGCTTTTGGAGTTTTGTTCTCATACGATCACTTTCCCCATGGACTTTAATGGGTTTAAGAGGCATGATTTCTCCTTCTGGAGCAGTCGTGTTGATCTGACTCGAGCAAATTGGTCTTACCCTTCCCATCAATGTCCCTGGAACAAAGATGCGTGAGGAGTCATGAAGCCAAATCCTTTTGACTCACAAGTGTTTTCAGCCTCATGACAACGGCCCTTTCGAAACACCGTGTTTGGATCCTGTTCTGTCTGCGCAGTGACGTCATGATCTCTCGCACCCACGATCGACCCTGATTCCTGTGACCAGCTTATCTTGATTTGCCGAGAGGAGGTCTGAGGTAGAACTCCCCTATGCCAAAAGCAATGGTCTTGGAGTTAGCAAATGGCCATTACAGTGTTCAAATCCTAAAGACATTTCTAGTATTGGCAGCATACAACTTCCAGCATATACCTCTCAGATTGAAGTCCCTTATGATACTATATTTTTTCCCCTGACACATTATAGCTAAGTGATATAGGAGGCTGATCATCCTGTTCTCTAGTGCAATTTGTGTGATCTACTGTGATTAGTACCCTGTCTTGTGATTTATCTGTTTGAACATGAATCCATAAGTATTCAAAATCATTTGCCTCTGAGCTGGCAGGGACTCAGAAACACAGTATGCCATTTTTGACATACACTGCTAGGCCCACTCTGCTTTTTGCCCCATTGACCCCTCCTGAGTAGGTTATCACCACTGATTTTAACATTCGAACCATATCTGCTAAGTTGAATAACATTGGGTAGGTCAAATTTGTGCTCACTAATGAGTCATTCCAGTTTTTCTTGTTTATCATCCAGACTGCTAGCATTAGCAGATAGGCAATTAAGGAATGTTGTCCCTTGGTGCGTTGATTAATTTTGCTCTCAGCATCTGGATTTTATGCCAAACGAACGCTCATCTGTTCTCCCTTTCCATCCTCCCCTTTTGCTGTCAGATTAAGGCCCTGCTGGCTAATCTGGCCCTGTCTCGTGGAAGATGGATTCCCCTTCTACTCATTTGGAGGTCATCCAAACCATCTAGCGTCTCTTCTCCATAGAAAGCATTCTTGTCTTCCACAAAACTGTAATCCTCTCTACTTAAGACCACTTACCTGGCTGGCCGCTCACATCCAGCATCTTTTATCTTCACCCAAGACAGGCAGGATCTTTGAGAAGAACAGGCGGATGTAACTCTCCGGTGGCACCCTTCTGAGCTCCTTGCCATAGTCTCTATCAGGGGTGGGCAGCTTTTTCAGGCCATGGATCAGACCGCCCTAGATTGGGTCAGAGGCAGACGCGTGCTAAAACCCATCTGCTGCCGTGGTCTCTCTCCATCATGAGCCAGGAGAGGCCTGTCCCTGTCGCTTATCCCCACTGCAGCATGGAGGGAAGCCCATCACCGCCAACTGCTGAAGCCCCTGATCTGCAGCTTTGACCCAGTAGCTCTGAGGACCGCATCCAGCTGTTGGACCATAGCCTACATCAGGTGAAACCGTCCCATGAGTGCCTACATTCACCATTAGCAATGGATTTCAAGAGCCTAGCAAAACTGCAACCACATCTCAAATCTTCGTTCCAGAAAGATGGCTTGCTGCCCTGTTATCCTCTTCCCCCTTGCGGAGTGGTCTTTCCCAGCCACCTCAGATACAAACCAACATCTCACCTGTCCCTCTGCCCATTCCCATGACCCTCCCAGATAGTGAGCAGCCCAAACACAACCCACCAAGCCCCTTTACCTCCTAGCAGAGGATCCATATCTGCTCTTTCTAGCACTCCTCTGTTCACCAAACTGTGAGACTATTGAAGGTACTCCAGGTAGAGTCCATCTGCGGTCACGATGAGTTTCTCCATCTCTCTGCTCAGGTAGTTCCCACCTTTCCTTTGTTTTCAGGTCCTGATCTTTCCATGGAGCGGTTGGCTGCTGGTTCTAGGTCGTATCGAGTGCCAGGACTGAAACTGGGAGGGACGTACGTGTTTTCCATAAGGGCAGTCTTTGGAGAGATGGAGGGGCCTGAGACCAGCATCACTGAGCAGATAGGTATGAGAGGTGGAGACTTGTGTTACAAGGCTTCTGGGTGTCATTTCTGTTGATTACTGGGCTGCGTTAGTAGGAGCAATGCCAGCAGATCGAGGCAAGTGATTATTCCCCTCTATTCGGCACTGGTGAGGCAACACATAGAGCTGGATTGGTGCTGAAGGCCACCGAAGCCTGAGGGTGTGAAGCCCCAGTGAGTAGAGACCAAGGGAGCCAGCCATGTGGGGACTGCTGCTGAAAAGGCTGGAGCGGTGGGGCATGGGTGACCTGCTCAGGGCTGGCAGAGAAGCTGAGATCTCTGGGGACGAGGGGGAGTTTCACCGCAGATAGTGACGGTTCCTGCCCGCCACTAGAACGAGCTGAGGACTGAGAAGTAAGCACTGTGGCCAGGCTTGAGAGCAAAGTGTTAGGACTTAGGATGTTTGTAACCTTTATTTTAATGCTCTGTCTTCCCCAGTTGTGTTGTAGCATTTTCCCCTCATTCTTTAATTTGCATTTCTTTTATCCCAAAGTTTGCCTGTCCTTTAATAGGGTATCGCATCTCAAGGGGAATCTGCACCCTTATGGCTTTGGCCAACTTGGGGTGCCATCACAGCGTGGGAGGTTTCCATGTGGACCTGATGCCATGTATTGCCACCATCATTTGTACCGTAACCAAGGTGCGATGCACGTTATTCTCTTTCTCTGCTTCTGTCAGTGGGATCTCACGGGAATCCTTCCACATCTGCTCCTACCATTACTTCTATACGAACTGCCATGGCGAGTGCCTCATCGACCGATGCTGGGAAGGCCAGGACCACTCGTACTCTACCAGCCACCCCTATGACATTAAGAACAACCCCAGCAGCTACAGCTGCTACAGCATCTTCACCCCTGACAACTCTTGCTGGGCCAAGTGAGTTTGTAACCCCTTGTGATTCAGGTCGGATGTTATAGCCACGACATGGTGATCTCCTCTGAGCTTGTGAGCAAAAAGTTGGGCTCATTGGGTATTTGGATGGAAGACTGACTCAAAAAACAGGTCATGTAGCAGGTCCTGCTCCTGGTGCTCTTTCCTCTGTTGCAAGAGCAAACAGCAAATATTAATGAAACTTTGAAACTGTTTTGATTCACCCTGACACAGATCAATGAACCACTTAGATTGGCATCCTGTCTAGGACAATGCGCAGCGCCATATCCTATGAGGGAGGCTTGAAGCCAGCATAAGACATTCAGCCACATCCCTCAGGGTGAAAGTATTTGTATCTTCACTCAGCAGGCAATGGGAGCCTCAAGACAGACTTGCATTCAGCTTCTTCTCCCATAAATCAGTCACAATTCTCACACACCCACCAATATAGTTAGAGACTCATGGCTTTCTGATCGGGGACTTACAGAGCGCATCTACACGAGACGCTTACTGCGCATTTCCCTAATAACACTGCAGTAGCGTGTCATGGCAAAAGCCGTGCTAATAGCCTACCGCGCAGTGTTATTAGGCTAATGTGCAGTAAGCGTCGCTAAATAACCGTGCGCCAGCGCTAATGTGCAGTAACTTTAGGTACTATGCATTTAGTTAGTCCTTTACTAAGGAAGTAGTAAACTAGGTGCACAGTATCTAAGATGCATTAATGAACGTATAGATATGCCCACAGAGATTTTATCTTTGCAGTCTGCGGTAGGTTCAATGCTGACATTGCATTCCTGGTGGATGAGTCCTCAAGCATCGGCCAGAGCAATTTCAATAAAGTGAAGGACTTCCTCTTCCGGATCGTCTCCTATTTCCCCAGAATTGGGCCTCAAGGGACGCAGGCAAGAGTCCATTACTCTTTCCATCTGTCTGTCTGTCTGTTGTCAGTATTTATCTTCCACGTGTACATCTTCATAATGCCCCCATAAGATAGGGAAATGATATTGTTTAGTTTGGCTTGCCGCAAAATGATATTGTTCCCATGTTGATGTTTTCAGATTACATCCCCTTTAAGGAAGTCATCATTATATTTGCATTGTGTGGGCTCTGAGTGGTACTGAGTGCTGCACAGACAAGTGTCTTGTAAGTTGAAATTAAAATGTCAACCTTCATGTAGAAAAATGGTACCCAAAATACCACTCCCCCACAAAAAAGGGAATGTCATCAGGTAGAAAAAATGCAGCTATAGGAAGATCCCACCATTAAAATAAGTACAGGCATTTCATTTGGTAAATTCAGTCCTGAATCAAATATTGAAGAGGAGTGGAAGAAGTTATTTCCAAAAGCTCTGTAGCAGATCTTGGCTCTTGGACTTGACAACTTGGTGGCTAGGATCATAGAGAAGCAGGGCTGGAAGGAACTGCTGGAGGTCATCCAGTCCAGCCCCCCTGTTTGAGGCAGGATCATCCCTATCCAAACTATCCAATGTAAATCCCTAATTTAACCTCTTAGTAAAATCTACCATCAACCTTGACACAATGCAAAACATCATACCCTAACCTGCCACAGGTAAAGCAGGAGGACCACAGCACCCAACGCCCTGCTTCTGTAAAAGAAACGTTAATCTTCCTGGGATCTCCTGAGTGTTAATATACACTCAAGAGATCTCAGGAAGAGGGCCACTCCTCCCACTACAGGGGGAGGCAAAAACCCTCATGATCCATACCAATCTGATCACGGGGTGCAATTCCTTCCTGACCCCAGATTCCTTCCTGACAGATATGGTGTTGAGTCTGACCCTGAACAGAGGGTCTAGTTGGAAAGGGTCAGACTATTTTGAAAATGGTGGGCAAATACAGCACTTTTTACACGACAAAACTCAAAGCTCATGCGGATTTACTCAGTTGCAGCAGAGCTAAAGGCTGCCAACTTGAAATGCTACAAAATCCACACCGCAGTCTGAAGGAAGCCCTGAACGATGAAAGATAATTGGCGGCATGATAAGGCAGATGAAATTCAGTCTCTTGTAGATGAGCATAGACCAGCTTCCGTGATGCACTGCAAGAAGTTTATGGACCTAAAAGCAGCACAAGTGTTTCAGTTAAATCCTTAGACAGGATTACACCGGTTGTGATTGCAACCAAGTCCTTGCCTGCTGGAGGGAACACTTCAGAAGCCGCCTTAATCAATCTTCCGCTGCTGAAGAAGCTGTCTTCGACGAATTGCACAGCCCTTTGTGCACAAACGTTTGGCAGCTCCAGTCACCCCGGGAGAAATTCGAAAAGCTGTCATCTGCTTCAGAAACCAAAAAGCCCCAGGAATAGAGAGACTCCTAGGTGACATTTGCAAATGTGTTTGCCTGCCGTTGCATCAAGCACTTCTAAATGTTTTCCAGTAAGTTTTCGGGAGACTGGGGAACTGCCTCAATGATTTGAGGAAGCGCTCCACAGCCACACCAGCTGCAAGCCCTGATCTTATTGGCTCCTGGGCACAGTATATAAGCCCCTGGGTCTCTTCATTTGGGGTCTGGTTGTTCGGTGCCTTGCACCCTGCAGCAGCTCAGCCTTGCTCCAGTCCTGAACCCATGCACCTTGCTCCTGCCCATCATGTTGCATGTCTGGACTGCCTGGCTCTTCACCTTCAGCCTGACCTGGACTATGGACATGGATATCACTTAGGGCTAGGAGTAACTCTGACTCCCTGGTTTAGACCCCTTCGGTGCATCCTTGACCCCTGATCTGGATTCCCCATGGGCTCAGGTGCTTGTATTACTCAAATTGCCAATTGGCCAAATCACGACTGAGACCTTATGAGGGAGGATAAGGTAAGTTTATTGCTTAAGCACTTAATACACATACACACACACACACCACATTCATACCCCAATTTCTGTTCTGCGCTGGTATAGATTACCAGTCTTATCAGTGCTCAGATCAACTTAGTGGCCAGCCAGGTTGACCACAAGTAGGAGCCAGGCTCCTGCCGGTCCATCTCGTCAGACGAACCACTGCTCCAGGATGACATGCAGAACAAGACCCCAAATTGATGTGTCTTGCCCCATCTTTTATAGCCTTGTGAATTCACCCAGTCCTCTGGGTTTTTGCTGGGTTATCACTGTGTTCTTCCTTGAAGGTCAATTGCTGTTGTTCTCTCGCTGTCTTGGGGCAGATTCTTCTTGTTTTGGTCTTCTATCTGTCTGCATTCTTCAGCCAGTCACCAGCTGATGTCTTCCTTTTCCACAGACACGGTCTCACCCATTCTCTCACACATACAGCATACAAAGGTGAAGCACTTATGTCAAGCTACAGAGTAATACAAGATGGAGTTTCTTAAGGCAATGTAAAACTCAAAAAAATACATAAGATTAAAAGCAATAGGCAAAAAGTCTATTTGTATAACACTTGGTTACCCCCGCAGTCATCCAGATTGCTTATGCCCCTTTACCATTGCCTGTTCATGGTGTAATCCCCAAGGGATCATGAACCCCTTTGCCACGGTTGTGTATGGCTCTGGGCTTTCTGTCAACATCAAGAAACAGTCCTTTATTAACCCATTCCTGGTGATGCCTATCACAATCCTGCTATTTTTACTGATCGTGCCATTTTTTAAAGGCATACAGTCTCCATATTCAGGGACTATTATTACGGATGACAACTCTATGGATACAGGTTACTTTTATATGCAGCTGACACTTTTACCATTTACAAACATCACATATGGAATCTTAAACCTATGCAACAGCAAATCCTCAACAAATCTTACAGTGGACCATGAACTGAGTATCAGTCAACGATGTCCTCATTGCAAAAAGACCCAAGAGCATGTTGGGTTTTGTCAACAGAAGGGTTGCTTGCAATTCAAGGGAAGTGATTCTCCTTCTCTGTTCAGTACTGGTGGGGCCTCACTTGGAGTACTTTATCCAGTTTTGGGCCTCACGCTTCAAGAAGGATGTGGACAAATTGGAAAGAGTCCAACACATAGGTGACAAAAATGATCAGGAGCCTGGGAGCAAGACCGATGAGGAAAGGCTCAAAGAACTAGGGTTATTTCTTCTGGCAAAGAGGATACTGAAGGAGGGGATTTGATAACAGTCTTCAAATATATGAAGGGGGATAATAGAGAGAATGGAGATGGGCTTTTCTCTGTGGCCGTAGGGGACAGGAGTGGCTGCAATGGCCTCAAGATGCAGCGGAGGAAATTTAGGTTGGAGATTAGGAGGAACTTTCCAACTTTGAGGGTGGTCAAGCATTGGAACAAGCTGCCTAGAGAGGTTGTGGAATCTCCATCCCTGGAAATTTCAGACAACAGACAGACATTTGTCTGGGGTGGTTTAGTCAGGGATGATCCTGCCTTGAGCAGGGGACTGGACTAGATGACCTTGTGAGGTCCATTCCATCCTTACTTTCCTATGATCCTATTTTGAGGGTGAGCAAAGATGAACAAGTGACTGGTCACCTGAGAAGATTGTGGCAAAACAAAGAATTGAATATGGCTCACTTGAGCCCCATCCCTTCCTTATCTTGATGTTCTCTGGTGTTCCCTAATTTAATGCATTTTCTAGCATTGTTCCCAAGGCTAGACCATCACTAAACAGCAAACTTCCAACATTATTGACACGTGAAGCTTCAACAGTCTGATTTTGGGACTAACCCCAAGCCCATTGTAATCAGTGGAAGATACCTACTGACTTTAGTATCTATCCTTTGATTTAATCCATGAAGCATAGCTAGTGTTTGGCTTGGATGTTTACATCAAGGCTCCAAGGTGGTTTCTTTCTCTTGTTTATGAAATGTAGAGATCCATGTGCTCATCAGTGGTAGAGATTTATCAGTGTCCCCATTTCATGACCCCATTTGTCCTTAACTCGGGTGTTCATAACCCTACCTCCTGCCATCTTTATGGACCTTGTGGTCTCTTCCCCAGATTGCTGTTGCTCAGTACAGTGAAGAGCCCCGGACTGCATTCCATTTTAACCAGTACAAGGATAGGAATGGAGTCCTGAAAGCCATCCAGGGACTGAGCTACGTTGGAGGCAACACAAAGACTGGTGGGTATCATATATGCACATCAATATCTGCATGTACATGCTATATCTGAGACATGGCCCCGAGTTGCAAAGTGCTGATCTGAAGTTGGATATAAGTTGCCTTAGGATTCAGGTGATGCATTTTGTTACAGAGTTGTGAATTAGTCTGTTGTAGAGTTGGGTTATGAAATGAAGATCCAAAATGCTGTGAAGCTGAGGAGAGGACTCTAGGTGTTTGTTTTCACCTCTAGTTATGGCCAGTACTGTCATTCTGGTTCTTTTAGAAGAGCCCCAGATTTATTTCTGAATTTATCTTTATTATCATATGACCCCCAATTGTGTATGTTTACACCTAACATAGAGCCCTAAACCTAAAGTTATTATCTGCTGGAAATTTTTTAAAAAGTGCTTTACCTCTATCTTCGATACTAACCCTATCAATCATGTGAGCAAGAATTCATGTTTCAGCACTAGATTATATTTGCCTTGATTTATTTAGACCACGGGGTCAGTTTCCCTTTTTGGTGCATATCTGTGACACCCATTAGTGTTGGTTGTGTCTTCACCTTAGCGTTGACTTGCTAAAATCAATGAGAGATGTTACCATCAGGTTCAAAGGAGAGAGAGTTAGAGCAATGAAGATTACTTTAGAAAATTCCTCCCACTGAGTGCATCTACATGAGATGCTAACTGAGTACTGGCGTGGCAGGCAAAAACCATACTAATAGGCTACTACACAGTTAGCACCCAAAGAATCCATGCACCAGTGCTACTGAGCAGTAGTGAAGTTACTGTGCATTGATTTAGTACTTAAGTACTAAGCTTAATGCACAATAAGTACGGTGCATTAATTAACATGTAGACGCACCCACTGTGGATCAGATTATCTACCCCTTCTGCATCCCATTTGGGAGGATAAGGGCTGGAAAATGAACTTTTGCTTTAAATATTCCATGGGTTTAAAAAAGTAATCGCCAGCCATTCTAGGTGCATGGATACACAGTATCTCTAACGCCAGGAGCATTAGACAGGGTTTGGCCATTTAGCTAGAGACTACGAACAAGATGATAGATGAAATGTAGTTCCATATTATAAGAACTCATCAACACATCCCATAGTTTTAAACTGAAGGGAATTAGCTTTCTTTCTATCCTTTTTTAAGCTGCCTCTCTAAGTGTCTACCCTTTCCTAAGGTGGCTCTTTTTTTGGTTACCAGTGCTGTGCACATAATCAATTTTTCAAGGTCATTGACTCAACTGAAATAACCAAAAAAATTCCACAAAAAAACTCCTTTTCGGTTGCTGCAAAATGAGAAGTTTTCAGTTTTCTTACTAACAAACAAAAATCATCTTGATTTGATATTTTCCATGAGGTGCTACAGGGATTTGGGAGCGGGGCTTAAGGGTCTGGGGGCACAGGTGGTGTTCTCGTCGATCCTCCCAGTCTCAGGCTATGGGCTGAGAAGGGACAAGAGGATCCACGTGGTCAACCAAAGACTGCGGCGCTGGTGTCGTCAGGAAGGCTTTGGCTTTCATGACCACAGCCCGCTCTTTGGCGAGAGAGGCAGCGAGCTGCTGGGAAGGGATGGCCTCCACCTCTCTCCCCTAGGGAGGAGGCTCTTCTCAGCCAGACTGGCTGACCTGCTCCACCGGGCTTTAAACTAAGCCCGTTGGGGGACGGGGGG